CCCGCGGGCCCGAGGGGCTGACGGGGAGCGGGATGCAGCGTGGGGACGGGGCCGGGGCCACCGGCGGATGCGCCAGCCCCGCCAGTGGGCATCCCCACGGCCGTGCCCCTCGTGCGCCTCGCCACAGCTTTTCCCCCGTGGGCATCGCCGCGGCCGTGTCCCTCGCACGCACCCTTGCTGTGGCTGCGCCCCCGGGGGCATCACCGTGGCCGTGACCCTTGTGTGCACCGTGCCGTGACCCTCGCACACCTCGCCGTGGCTGTGTCCCTGCGAGCCTTGCCCCAGCCGTGCCCCTTGCACACATTTTGCCATAAGCCGTGTCCCCGTGGGCATCACCACGTCCCTACGCCGTTCGCCGTGGCTGTGTCCCCACAAGCATCTGTGCAGTCCTGTCCGGATGAGCCATGCTGCAGCCATGTCACCCACCCCTCAGGCATCCCCACGACCGTGAACCCCAGCATGGTGTCGCCGCCACGTCTCTGGTGATCTCTCCGAGTGTGTCCTCACGCGGGCCTTGCTGCTGCCAGCTCCTCTGCGTGCCTCACCACGGCCGTGTCCCCTGTGGGCATCGTCACCTCCATGTCTTGGCACATGCGCCAGCACAGCCGTGTCCTGGCTTTGCTCCTGCAGAGGCCGCGGGCAGCTCAGAGCTGATCTGAGGTTGGAGAGGAGTTTCTTGCCTCGTGCAAAACAGGCAAAACAGGCAAGCTCTCCCCGGTCACCAAACCCCAGGTGGTTCCCAGGGGGCTCATCCTGTTCCCTCTTCTCCTCCCTGCTTGCCAAGTCAGGACAGTGGTGCTGGAGGTGTTGGGGGCTGCAGGACATCATTCAGTCTTAGCCTTTCGAATTAAGATCTGATCCAGCACTTAACTGGAGAGCCCCAGAGGGCAGGTGTGTACTAGAAAAGGCACATACCTTCCCAGCATGCAGGCAGCTGCCTCCCCGAGTCAGCTCTTTTCTTGGGGTTAAGAATATTGCCTTGATGCAAAAAAACAAACTGCACTTTCATGCTAGTATGGCTGCACGTGCCCTGGGAGTTAGGCTGGTGTGTGGAGCTCTCTTTTTTATCCTTAGTCATACAAATGCGCTCTGATCCTTACTGCTGCACTAACAGAAAGGATTGTATGGATGCTATAAAGGCTAAAAAGAGCTTGGAGTGGGTTTGCTTACTGTCCTCTGCACATGGATTTTCACTGGAAACACATCCTTGCGGGAAACTGAAAGGAGCAGAGTGTTCATACAACCAATGTTTTCAGCCTTTCCTGTGAGCCCCAAGGAACAAATGGACCTTTTCAGACTCCCAGCAGAGGTGGCAGAGCAGGTGATCCTGCTGCTTAGCAGAGAAAGATCCCAGCTATGAAGGAAAGAGATCCAAGGGAAAGCATAATTTAAACTTAGGCTATTGCTCTGTTAAAAATTCGTGTTTATTTATAAAAAAATCTATAGAAATAAATCTGAGTGAGGGCAAAAGTTTGCACAGCCTGCTTCTCACCCTACAAACAGGCTTTCATTAGTATTTGTAGCACAGGCACAGCTCCTTTGAGACTTGGAAGGTCACCTCAGAGCAGCCTGTCTTGCACGGTTGTGCCAGGAACCCAGCCACCCATGGGACAGTTTATTTTGTTCAACAGGGTGAAATGTGTGCATGAAACTCGGTATTGGGGAGAACAGGAGGACCTGTGTGATGGGAGCTCTGGAAAATTGCTAGCAGGAAGAGGCCTGGCCCTGAGCCCATCCGGTGTACGCAGGGTGGGGGGCTCACCTCCAGCTTTCAGAAGGCTCTGGATCAGCGTTGCCTCAGCATGTGAAAACTTTAAAAGCATGGGAAAACTTTAAAAACCCAGCGTAAGCATCACTGCAGCTGAGTTTGACGGTGTATAAATATACCATTCAGCATCCAAGATAATTCTTGCCCTGAGTTAATTAGGGAAACACTTAACAGGCAACGAAATTTTTCTATAGAAGGCTGTTGGCAGGGAGACGTGCGGCGGAGGGTTGGCTAGCATCCCGCGCAAGATCCTTCTGACAAACAAACTGCAGTGCGTGGTGTTCAGGAACAGGTGCCAAGAGACGGTTTGGGAAGACATCTCTGCTCTGGAAAAAACTCTGGTCTGCTCTTAATTTTAAGTGATGTTGGTGAAAGCAAAGTACTGTGCTGTGTGTAAGTGTCTTGCTTTGCCTCCCCAGCGCATTTACTACCTGTCCCTGGAGTTCTATATGGGCCGCACTCTGCAGAACACCATGGTGAACCTGGGCCTGCAGAATGCTTGTGATGAAGCCATTTACCAGGTGATGTCTTGGGGGTACCGGGGTCCCACTGAGGAACTGGACAAACTTTTCCATGCAGAGGGCTGGGTTTTATTTCTCAGGGCTTCCCCCTAAGGATATGTTATTTTGACTAAACGAGGCAAGGCTTGGCTCTCTGTTAAGTGTTTTCAACCCCTAGAGAAGACCATGGCAGGACCCTGGGGTTCCTCGGGAGTTGGATTATGGTTTTCTCAAACCACTGTTTTGCTGTAGTGGCTGGGAAAACCCAGAAGAGTATCCAGAAAGCAACACCCGGTATCCCAGAAGACTGAGGATTCCCAGGCTGCAAATAGCTTTTCATTACTAGGAGAGACAATGGCTCATCACAGGAGATGTAGTCTAATGGGGGAGGCTGGGCCAGAAGGGGAAACTGAAACACAAACCCCACCAAATTACAGTTCATACATGCAGGTACACAAGGCACCAAAGCAGCACTGCCAGATAAAAGTGAATCACTGGGAAGGAAGAAAGGGGGGGGGCAGAAATTATTTGCTTGAATTCAGATGTCATCGGCTGAGTTCACACTAGAAAAAACATAGCTGAGTATCACCAAGGCAATCACAAACGCAAGGCCATATTTACTTAGCTCGCAGCCACCTCTGCAGCAGAACAGTGACCTTGTTGACAGAGTGTGAATTTTGGGGCTTTCTTACCCAAAAGCTTTATTTCCTCCCGCCTCTTCCTCCCTGCCCCACTGGATTGATCCATGTTACACTTTCTAGCAGAATTTGGGCTCTGTCACTGTCTCTCCAAATGAGGTACTATGATTGCTAATGAAACATCCTGGCAAGTATTTTCCCTGCCGTGGGATGGGAAGGGATTTCCAGGGAGGGACCTGACATGTTAATGTGCCTCCGAGAGCAGGGTGGATTTTTTCGGGGAGGATTTTCAAGTCCCTTTGCAAGGCATTTTCCACATGCTGTTTGGCCTGACATGCAAGCAGAGGCTTCTCTCACTGTAGCCTCTGACATGTGGAGCTCATCATGGCCAGTGGCCAGCTGGGATGGGAGGTCTTCTACCCAGCATGGGTCTGTTTCTGAGAGAATTGGCCTTGGGTTTTGTGACCCCATCACACTGTGCATGAGGTTTTCCCAGCTTGTGGTTGCAGACCACTGAAGCACTGGGAGAGCTGTTCGGGGAGCAGCTGTGGTGTCGGTCTGACTCCCCGCAAGTCACTCCTGGCACCAAGGTGAGATACTGCTGCCCTGCGAGAGGCAGCATCTCTTGACTCCTCGAGAGTCCTTGCTGCTGGCACGCTTAGCCTTCATCTGGCAGCAGCCCCTGGGCTGGAAAAAAGTCGCCCAAGAGATGCAGCAGAGGAGACAACCACTTCCAGCCACAGACTCCAGCCAAGGAGCTTGGTGGCAGGATGCAGGAAGGCACGGAGCGTAACGGTGAATGCTGCAGTAACCAGCTGCCGGCATGGTCATGCCCTTCCTCAAGGACTGGGCGGGCACAAGCAGAGGGGCAGCGTGCATACCCGGGCAGGACTTGGTGGCCCCTTGCTTGCTGACTTGGCCGTTTGCCAGCCTGTCTCCAACGGCGAGTTCAGTGGAAGGGCCTCCTGGCGTGAGGGCCTGCCAGGAGATGAGTGTTTTGTTTGAGGTCTCTAAGGAAACCTAGTTCATGGGAAAGCGACGTTTGATGATGAGCTAAATTTTTTCCAATTAATTGGGCTGCACAAGGACCAGAGGCTGATGAGATACTTTGTGCGGAGGGGAGGGTGGGGACATGCAGAGACCCCCATGGGTTTAATTTCCCATGGTGTGGGTTGTTCTGGGATCTGTGTTTGCCCTCCTCAGAGAGCAGCCTCAGGGCGTGGGCTTCAGGTGGTGACATGTTCTGCTGCGGCTCTTTCCCCAATAGCTGGGTTTGGACTTGGAGGAGCTGGAAGAAATCGAAGAAGATGCTGGGCTGGGAAATGGAGGCCTGGGCCGCCTGGCAGGTAATACGGGGAGAGAGGAGCACCCTCCTTGCGCAGAGGGCATGGGGACCGAGGGTGGCCTGGCTGGAGGCTGTCGTGCCCTCACCACCGGCACCGCAGTGGGACAGCATACAGACCTCAGCCCACATCTGCCCCACAGGCCTTCAGCAGCGTGGTACTCTTCTGCCTGCTCCTGACTGACCAGAAATGAGCCCTGTCCCCAGTGAGAGCACCCAGGAGGTGTAGTTGTGTAGTCTGCAGCACAGCAGGTGGGGTTGCGGCTGAAAAAGGCTGTCTGGAGCCTTTCTCCTCACCTCCCTGTGAAATCTGTCACTTTTCAGAGGCACCCAAGCAGCTCTGCCGTAGGCAGACTGTTGGCTGCTATTTTAGTCTGCCTGTCCCATGGGAATGTGGAGATGAGAGCTCTCCAATGCAGAGGAAATGCCGGGGCTGATCTTTACCAGAGCTGCCCTGAATTGAGAGCTGGAAGGGTTTGATTTGAAAGCTCTAATAGTGAAGTAGCTGGTGGTGCAGTGAGTTGGGGTTAGAAGCCCTGCTTTACGGGGCAGGCAGTCTTAGATCAAAGTGTGGGCACTTCGGGCAAGTTTAGAAGAGGCAACAAGGCTGGATTTGGGTTTTTGGTGACCTGTGTGACCTGTCCTTGTCACCAACAACTTTGGGGTGTTTGTTGTGGCTCGGCATGGGGTCCTGCTGCAGACTGTCCCTTCTGCATGTGGATTTCCTCAGAGTTTGCAGCAATATTATTTGTGACAGCTGCTCACCCCTGTGCACAGCACACCATAGCAGGTGCAGTGAGTGAGGGTGAGGTTCTGTGCGGCATGACCATGTTCTGCTCTTCCAGCTTGCTTCCTGGACTCCATGGCCACGCTGGGGCTGGCAGCATATGGTTACGGCATCCGCTACGAGTTTGGTATCTTCAATCAGAAGATTGTTGACGGCTGGCAGGTACATCAACAAACTCAAGTCACCCTTTCTGCTTCTGTTTTCATGATGTGGTGGCCACCTCTGCCTGTGGACAAGGCCTAGCCACACAAATGGCACTTCAGTGCCTTGAGCTGTTCATAAACAGGGCATCTGAATCCATCACCTGGTGCCAAACAGGCTTTCATGTCCTACCACGTGTGCTCACCCTAGGGTCTGACCGCCTGAGCAAAGGGAAGTGATGGGGGTGGTGGCGGGGGAGCGTGTGACAGGCGCTGACCCAGGGACACATGCAAACTCATCCATGCCAGTCATCAACCTGGCAAGATGGTGCTGGAGCTGAGCCCACAGGGCATGACTGGGACAAGAGGTCTCCCTGTCCAGGGCTCCACAGCACAGCAGCAACAACCTGAGAGTCCCATCCAGCCTGATGAGGAGTCAGGCTGAGGATGGAGATGTGGCTGAACACCTCATGAAGGGGTGTGGTGCAGGATGAATTTGAACATCATGGACATGTGCAAGTGCCTGGGGTGCTGCTGCTCCTGTGGGTTCCCTGGGAGACTGGCAGTGGGGGCTTGAACAAGGACTCCCCTGTAAGGTTTTGCAGTGAAAATAGGCTAAAAACCAGCTGGGAGTTTTCCCTAGTGTATGTCTGGAAATGATTTCCATTAGGAGACATGCCTTGCTTTTGAGCACAAAGGACCCTTTTTCCCCTTAAAATAGCTCTCCGTAAATCAGGGAAGATGAGAGGTTTGAAGGTTGGTTTTTCCTCCTTCCCCACAGAGGAGCTGCAATGCTAGGCCCTGTAGATGGTAAAAACAAGGACGAAAAGCATCCACTGTAATTGGCTTAATGTTACTTAAAAAAGAACAGGGGTGGTGGCAATGCAGGGCTGTGTGTGGGTCAGACCTGCCCTGCACCTGGCAGAGAAATGCCTGCATCTCTCCTCTGGTTTCTGGTGCATATCAGCCTTGGTGGCTTTGCTGAATTCACTTCGCTCCCATGGTGCTGTTACGAGCAGAGAGAAGAAATCCTCTCTGGCAGAGGTCAGAGTGGTTAGTGAGACCTGGGTTACCGGGGGTGGTTTGTGGCCAGGAGCAGCACCAATGGGCTTCTAGGGAACCACACCCCACACATATCCCACTATTACGGTCAATCTGGCTGTAAAGGCCTCAAGACAGACCGAGTGCAGCAGTCTGTGCGGTTTGGATGGTTTAAACCTGTACAGCTCTGCAGAGCCCATCGAGGCTGATTTATTTATACCAGCTGAGATGTAGTCATCCATGCTTTGAAAAGCTCAGCTGTCCTCTAGAGGCCTCTGCATATCCATTTTTAAAGCCAGCTTACCAAAGCTTTGTTTTTAAACTGGCCTCCTTTTGGAGAGCCTAGTTTAGCCTTTGCTTGGAGACACAAACCATCACTTGAACCCCGGTTGCCTCTTGCAGGTGGAGGAGGCCGATGACTGGCTACGCTATGGCAATCCCTGGGAGAAAGCTCGCCCAGAGTACATGCTCCCCGTGCACTTCTACGGCCGAGTGGATCACACCCCTGAGGGCGTGAAGTGGATCGACACCCAGGTACCAATATCTCCCTCAGTGCTGGGCTGAGGAGGACGGGCCAGGGTGGTGTGGAGGGGGAGTCTGTCCCTGGGCTGCCTGAGGTGGTCACATTTTGCTTCTCCCCCAGTCTGTCAAAACTCTCTCTGATACCCTTCCAATTACAAAGGTGACTTTATTGGCTACAGCTGCAGCAGGATTTGAGGAAAAAGGGGGATGATACTCAGTTACAGCTGTAACTTCAGATCGGCTGGGGCCTCCTTCTCTACTGATCTCCAGTGTGAAGCCCCCACAGTCTTGCATGAATTTATGTTGGAGGAGGACTTTATCCCTGGCAGATGTGCTAGGCTCCTTCCATACTGCTTACTCAATCCCAGTGGTTTTGCCATGGTTCTGGCACTGCTGCTGTGGGTGGAGATTCATCTTGTGGGATGGCCATGGAGCAGTCCCATGGGTGTTTAACTCCGATGATCAGAGCAAGTTCCTCTTTCCCAGACCAGTCTGATGGGTAGAGTGCTGTCAGGGGAGGCTGGAGGAATGGTTTCAAGTCTCCAGTCTGCCTGGAGGCCTTGTTTTGTGGCATCGTGGAGAGAAAATGTACTTCAGCCTCCCACAGTTGGAGAAATAAGGTGTGCTTCAGGTGCATGTGCCTGCTCTGAGCACAGGCTTCTGCATTCCAGTCTTAGAGCTGAGGAAGGCAAGCTTTAAAGAGGCACAGATTTATTAAGAGGATTGAAGATGTTTCAGCCTCTGTCTAAGTACTGCCCAGAATGGAGGAAGGAAGGACTATGAATTACTCTGGGATTCAGGGACATAGCCTTGTTCCCATGATGTTCCAGGGTCTCTCAACCTGATGAGCCAGCTCTGTCCATCTGAGGTGCTGTGCAGTCATAAAGCCAAGCCATTCTCTTCAGCGCCAAGAGCCGAAGCTCAGTTGCAGGGTCACCTGGGCCCACTCGGAGGAGAAATAAACCAGGTCCTTTTCCAGGGACCCTGTTTGTCGAAGGCTGTGCAGTGACCTAGGCCATCCCCGGGACACACACAGTGCAGGGGTTCAACACCACAGCCCCGTGAACAGCATGGAGGCACCATGCCAGAGCTCTCTGGGGAACCAAACATCCACTTGGGGACTGCCATTGCCTTTCTCTGTGCTCTTCTTCTGATCCCAGTGGTAGTCTGGGGTTTCAGGGATCCCAAGCAGTACAGGGGAAACACTGCTTCCTACAAGGAGGTGAATTTTCAGATAGTGCCATTAAGGTAACAAGTGGGAAAGGCTCAAAAAAGCTGAAGACATAGTCTCTAAATATAGCATTGCTCAGTCCATGTGATGTGTGCACCAGTCCCGTGGCTCAGGCAGGGCAGGCTTTCTGCCTGCTTCCATGTTCGGAGCTGGTACTAGTAGCTTTGAGAGCCTGAGCTCTTGCTGATTCTCCCCAGATGGGAGGTGCTGCTGATGCCAGCACAAAGAGGCTGTTATCTGCCTGGGTTTTCCCTGCCCTATGAGCACAGCACCGTCATTTGTCTGCTGCCTCACATCTTTGCTTGGGGACAGCCCCTGGCTGCTGGGCTGTCATGCCACTACACACTGACTTGTTCAGGAGGATGCTGGTTCCTTTTGCCAGTGTCAGAGAGGTGGTCCAGGCTCCGTGCTGCAGGATTGGGGCCTTGTTCTGCAAGCATCGTTCAGCTCTGCTGGCATAAGCCCTCTTTGCTCCAGGCTGAGGGGGTGCCTTGCCTTGCTGCTTAGCACATCTGGAGGCACACAGGTGTTGGCACAGCAGTGAGCTGGAGCACACATGCTTGGAAACACAACCATGCCTTGCCTGGCTAGTGCAATCTGAGCTGGGAGTGGTGTTAATCCCTATAGCCATGTGTGCAGCATCCTGATGCTTAAGCATCATCCATAGACTACTCTAATAGTTTTGCACTCATGTTCAGTTCAGGTGCTGCAGATCGCAGTGGATTTACTCAGGGAGCTTCAGCAACCCTTGAAAATTGGGTGAATTTCTCTGGGAATGGTGCTGTGGTGGTAGGGTTTGGTCCTGGCAAGCTGTAGAAGGCTAACAGGCAGGATTCAGGCTGTGGAGTTTATCCCAGACGGAAAGACAAAAGTCCCAGATGCCCTGGCCCTACCCCAGCACAGACAGAATTGCAATGACCAGCTGAAGATGCTTGCAGTACTCTGGTGAAGAACTAATAGGTATGCCAGTTGGTATAGGAAGGTCAGCAGGTTGCTTGCAACTCTCTTTAGCCGTTCACTGATGGGCCTGTAGCTCGTTTGTCAGTAAAAATCCCGACAGCTCTGCTTCTCCTATTAACGCTTTGCCAGGGAGTGCTGGAAGTGCCTGTGATAGCAGGGAAGTCTGTGAAGCTCATCAGGTGTGTTTTAGTGGGGTGAGATTCTTACCACAGCCCAGAGTTGTCCGTGTCCTCTGGTTTCTTCCTTCAGAGCTTTCATCCACTTTCCCGCCTTCTTTGAGGCCGCTGTGCTGCTAATCAGAGGGGAATACTGTCCTTTTGCAGATTGTCCTTGCTATGCCTTATGACACGCCAGTGCCGGGATACAAGAACAACACTGTAAACACCATGAGGCTGTGGTCTGCGAAAGCGCCCAATGACTTCAACCTCCAAGAGTGTAAGTGCCATCCCTTCACTGCCTCTCTTCTGGCCGGGCTGGGACATGGTTGTTCCTGTGTGCATAGCACCTGGCACAGCACCCCCCATCTGCTCTGCTTCATCCGTATCTCTTGGCTACTTCCATAGCACAGTGCTGTGTGTGCGTCTGCGGATCACGCTGCCTTCAACCGCTTCCAGAGCCCTCGTGCACCAGGACACTCATCCATCCTCCTTCCATCCCTATCATGCTTATGCTCTCAAAACCTGCCCTGTGCCTTCTCCAAGTGGTAGACAACTTGCCACTGCGTTCCCCACATCACCAAATGAGCTGCAAACCCACACATGCCACAGAGGGTCGTTTCTGTGCAGCAGCATCCCTTAGTGCTGAAGGAAGAGACCAGCAACCTTACTGTTGGTTTCCTTTGGCTCTACATGTGGCCTCTTTAGTGCATTTTTGAGGCTCTAATTGTAGCACTGGAGAGCAGATACAGGGCAACTAACAGACCAAATAGTGATAGGCTGTTAGAGAAATGGAAGGTTTTGGACTAGACTGATTTTATTCTTCCATACTGGCAAGCACAGAGATGTGTGTGTCCAAGTAGCCCTGCCAGAACTCGTGTGGGGCAAGGGGTGATGGCTCTTGAGTCTTCATAATGTCTCCTCAGTTCTTCATTGGCAGCTGCAAGTTGGGTTTCAGATGAGCCTTCTGTATCCTTCAGGAATTGAGTGTGATTGCAGTCTTTGTGCGTCTTTGCCCTGCCCCATTTCTCCTTAGTCCTTAAGCAAGACGGCTGGTCACTCACTTCTTTTGTTTTTGGCTTCTCTGGCTGCTATCTGTCTTCAGTTTCTGTCTGTCCTTCCTGATACGTGTGTCTTGAGAATTTGCATAGAGATGTGCCTTTCTCTTATTCCATCTCCTCCTGTCTCTCTGGTGCCTTTCACACATGTACATTCCCATTCATATTTCATTAATACCAGCCTGAATGTTTCTGTTACAAATCTCTATGAAAGAAAAGGGAAGAGCACAGTGTCAAGGACCTGCCTGAATCTCTATAGCTGCTGCAGTGCTGTGTGTATTTCTCTCTTGCTGCAGTCAACGTGGGTGACTACATCGAGGCAGTGTTGGACAGAAACCTGGCAGAAAACATATCCCGAGTCCTGTACCCAAATGACAACGTGAGTGACTCTTGTCTCTCTTCCCTGCTGCTCAGGACCATTCTCCTTGTAGTTGTATCGCCTTGTTTGCAAACACTGGAAGGTCATGGCCACCTGATGTTTATTGTTCTGGTTTGAGGATTTTTAATGCAATAGGTTGGCCCCATAATTCTCAGTGAACAGATACAGCTCTGCTGATTCCAGAGAGTGTCTGCTGACTGATGGCAGCTGAGAGTCTGGCCCATACTATATAGCTGCTCTGTTCCCTGCTGTAAGGAGGGGAAGACATATTACTCCTTCAAATTCAAGGCAGTTGCCAATTTACGTGGCTACCCTTTGCAAAAGTAAGTTGTCATGAGGGGGAACTCACTTCCATCCCCAGTTTACAGGATTTCTCACTGCAGGGACTGTCCCAGGCCATGCACTCACTGGGCACCAGCTCCAAAAGGGAAGAGCCCTCCCTATCTAGTCATGGATTAGATCCTGTGCTGGAAGAGCTCATTTCCTGCACTTTACCCCCACCCTCTCATTCCTGCTGGCATTTTAGAATAGACCAGCCTGAAGTGTAGTGTGCATGGAAGGCAGCTAAGTGTATCCAGAGACTGCTGACTATTGCAGGGAGTCCAAAATCCTTGGTCCAAAAACCCTGCAGAGGGTCTTGCAATGAGGGAGGGAGCTGCGCTTGCTCTGTAGGAATAGCATGGATGTAGCTGGTTCTGTTGCTCTCTGGAGGCAGCTGTTTGGGATGCCAAGCCCCTTGTCAGTCCCTACAGCTGCTGCCCTGTCAGAGGCAGAGTGAGAAGCATCCACATTTGCCCTGATGAGGTGCTGAGCCTGTGAGGCCTGTTGGGAAGCCCGTTGGAGTGGATAGGAGCATCTCCAGGGGTTTGGCTGCTAACTGGGGATGGCAGCTGCAGCACTAACGGCTGTGGACCCCCACTTGCAGTTCTTTGAAGGCAAGGAGCTGCGGCTGAAACAGGAATACTTTGTGGTGGCTGCTACCCTTCAAGACATCATCCGCCGCTTTAAGTCCTCCAAATTTGGCTGTCGAGACCCAGTGAGAACATGCTTTGAAACCTTCCCAGACAAGGTGAGCTTGTGGGCAGAGAGCATCTGGGGGCATTTCAGCCAGACCTGCCTATCATGAGCGAGCAGGATGCTCAGGATCAAGTAGGGTCATGTATACAAGGACCCTGGCAATTTGTATTGGAAAACAGATGATCTCTGGGCCTTTTTTTCCCAGGAAAAAATTTGTAATGTGGAGCAAAACTTGCAAAGGTTGAATAGCTCCATTCTGGGACCTCTCTGTTTTTGAGGTGTGTGCCATGAGAAGCAGCTTGGGGCTGACCCTCACCCCAACGCCGTGCATGCGGGACACTTGTCGCAGTACTGTCACTGCCAGATCTGAGCCAGCAAGTCTGTGTTGCAGGTGGCTATTCAGCTAAATGACACGCACCCTGCCCTGTCCATCCCAGAGCTCATGCGGATCCTGGTGGATGTGGAGAAAGTGGATTGGGACAAGGTAAGCAGAGCTGGAAAGGCCATGCCAAACCTTTCAGGGGAAAGAGCTGCTGTTCTGTCCTCACACGGGGTTTTCTTTCCCCTCCTGGCTTGGGCACACACACGTTAACCCGCTGTCTGTAATGCAGGCCTGGGAAATCACGAAACGGACCTGCGCCTACACCAACCACACCGTGCTGCCTGAAGCCCTGGAGCGCTGGCCGGTCTCCATGTTTGAAAAGCTGCTGCCACGTCACCTAGAGATCATTTACGCCCTCAACCAAATGCATCTGGATGTAAGGGACCAGGCTGGTCACAGGCTGTGGGAACTCTGGGGGGCTTGATCTGGCTGCCTTTAGGACGGGAATGTTCCCAGGTCCCGTGGCTGGGACGCTAATGTTCCTCTTTCTGCCTGCCTGCAGCGGGTGGCAGCTCTCTACCCAGGGGACATTGACCGTCTCCGGAGGATGTCAGTGATCGAGGAGGGAGACTGCAAACGTATTAACATGGCACACCTCTGTGTGATTGGCTCCCATGCAGTCAACGGCGTGGCCCGCATCCACTCTGACATTGTGAAGAACTCAGTGTGAGTTGGGGGACACCCGAGGCACGTGACCTCCCACTCACTGGGCTTTGCCTGTAAGCCCAGGGGGCTACCTGGGGCAGTCACACACCAAGGTCTGCTTTGGTTGGCCTGCCGGGCATGAGGGGCTGGGGAGACTGTCCTATTCACATGCATGCAATGTCTAACTCATCTCCCTTGGGAGCTTGGTGAAACCCTCAGCATTGCAGCTGAGGAAGGGGGTGACAGTTGGCACCGAGTTCACACTTGTTATGGGGAGATCTGCAGAGGCTGCCCTCAGTCAGGAGCACGTACAGTGGGGGCCAGGCTGAAATTCTGGGTGGTGGTGGGTGGTTCAGAACTCCCTGGTGTTCCAGGTTCAAGGATTTCTATGAGCTGGAGCCGGAGAAGTTTCAGAACAAGACAAATGGGATCACACCGAGGCGCTGGCTCCTGCTGTGCAACCCAGGACTGGCCGACATTATTGCTGAGGTGAGTGGCAAACATCTGAAGTGAGGGGCTGCGGGTGATCTCTTTGCTTCTGATTACATCTTCGTGTGGTCTGATCCGACCTGAGGCAAACACCTGGTGGGTGTGAATGAGGACAGCCTGGGAGGACCACGTCTGTTGCATGTGGAGGTGTGAGACTGGCTGGGCCTTAAAGTTGGTGATGAAGAGTTGGTCAAAAAAGTTGCAGAAATTTGAATCTGGTGACTGCTACCCTTCAAGACATCATCTGCCGCTTTAAGTCCTCCAGTGGCTACACACAACCTCTCAGGCAGTGCCATGGTGTGTGAAAGGGCACAAAGGAGCTTCCTTGTAGCTCCAGCCCCAGTTCTGTCTCATTTGTTTATCAGGCCCTTTAGCACAGGTTTTTGCTTCACACTGCAACATGCCATAGCTGAGTAACTTCCTGCAATTACGCGTATCTTTATGTCCTGACCATCAGCTTCTTCAGCTGCCAAGAGGCCTTGGTACGCATGCACCCATCCTCCCTCCAAAGCTCCTTGAAAGACAGGGATTTGTTTGGGTTTTTGCAAGTGCTCTGTTTCCCCTGTACCTTGGGCTCCCAGATGACACAGAGAAGTAACCTTACTGTAAGAAACTGTGCCACTTTTCCTGGCCAGAGTGCCTGTTCCAGTTCCCAGCAGGACCATGGCATCTCTGTTGGGGAAGAGCAGTTGTGGATTGGCTGAGGTGTCTCACAGGTGAGACATCCCTTTCTTGGTTTGTTCTTTTAGAAAATTGGGGAAGGCTTTATCACAGATCTGAGCCAGCTGAAAAAGCTACTGGATTTCATCAACAACGAGACTTTTATCAGAGATGTGGCAAAAGTCAAACAGGTAATGTGCACTGGAGGTGGGGTGGGGGGAAGAAGGCTGAAGGCACCATGCTCCCAGGAATGTCCCAGCAGCAAATGCTCACTTCTGACACAAGATCTGGGAACCCATGCCTATTCGTCATCAGATTTTCTTGCCAGGAGAACAAGCTGAAGTTCGCAGCCTACTTGGAGGAGCAGTACAAGGTCAAGATCAACCCTTCGTCCATGTTTGATGTTCAGGTCAAGCGAATCCATGAGTACAAGCGGCAACTGCTGAACTGCCTGCACGCTATCACCCTCTACAACCGTAAGTCCTGCTTGGGCTGGTAGGGAAGGGGTGTCCCCCCCACCTCTCACTGCCAGGGTTCCCATGTAGAAGCATGCCAGCTGGTGGCCAAGGACTCCTGAGATGAGCTCTGCCCTTCTGGCATAAGGGGCTTCTCTCCAGGAAGGAAGACAGAATGTTGGAAGGGTCATACAGAGCTCTTGAGGAAAAGCTTACAGCCTGGGGCCCAGGTACCCCCCCACCCCCAACTTGAACTGCAGGTGTTTGTTAGAGCTGACCTGGTACTAGTTGAAACCCCACTCCCCAGGGTATGCTTCGGGCCCCTGCCCATTCTTGAAGGGAGGCAAGTCATTAGAGCTTCGCACGGTGCTGGCTTGAGTAGTTCTCTGAGGGCTTTGCAGCCCATTTTCACCCAGCACAGCTCCAGCAGATGTCTGGTTGGGCTTCAGGGTCCTGCAGGTTTGCTGGGTCCATGTGACATGGGCTAGGATCCCAGCCCACCTCTGATGCATGCAATAAACTCTAGTCTAGTTTATTTTCACTTCAATTGTGTTATGCCCTGCTCTTTCAGGCATCAGAAGTGATCCGTCCAAATCCTTTGTGCCCAGGACAATTATGATTGGAGGAAAGGTAATGTGCATTCCAGACTTGGTGCATGCATGGCTCAGTGGGGATGTGAGGAAGGTGCTGTCCCCCTCCTTAGGGGTTAGGGCCATTAGGGTTAGGGTAGGGTTTAGGGGTTAGGTGGCTAGGGTTAGGGGATTAGGGTTAAGGTTACGGTTGGGGTTAGGATTAGGGCTAACCTACAGCATGCTGGTGGGCTCTTTAGGAAACACATTCCTAGACTAATCAGACTGAACAAGGCCCCATCACTCTTTCCCAGTGGCTCAGGACAACTCCCAGTAGGGTGTTTTTGCTGATCCATGTGAACAGCAGAGATGAGGCCCAGACTTTCCCCAGGGTGAGGACCCACACTGACACCCGTCATGCTCTGCCTTCCTTTAAAGTCTTCACCCTTTCTGGGCTGCTTTTCTTCAGGCAGCCCCTGGCTACCACATGGCCAAGATGATCATCAAACTCATCACATCCATCGGTGAGGTCATCAACAATGATCCCTATGTGGGGGACAGGCTCAAGGTCATCTTCCTGGAGAACTATCGGGTATCCTTGGCTGAGAAGGGTATGTCTTGTCTCGTGTAAGCACTCATCAGGAGCTGGGCATGTCCCAGCTGAGTCCAGAAACTTGCTGGCCTGAGAGGCTGTCATGGCAGGTCACCTGGCTCTCCCTTAGGAAGTGCCTGAGGGTTCCACACAGGGCAGAAAGCCAGCTTCATGCAGGAGTGATAGCAGCTGCATGGGGTTGTGGCAGGGCTGAGCTTGGCTCTGGCCCCAAAGCTGCGCTGTTTGGGCTGAGGTCGAGGTCAGCAGGGCCACTAGGAGATGCCCAGGGTTGTTTTGCTGTCTTGGGCCCAGTTCAGGGGGAGCTGCAGTGTGCCAAGCATTAACTCTGATCTCTCTTGCACCTGGCAGTGATTCCAGCAGCAGACCTCTCCCAGCAGATCTCCACAGCTGGCACAGAGGCCTCGGGTACTGGCAACATGAAGTTCATGGTGAATGGGGCCCTCACCATTGGTACCATGGATGGGGCCAATGTGGAGATGGCTGAGGAAGCAAATGAAGAAAACCTCTTCATCTTTGGCATGCGGGTGGAGGACGTGGAGGCCCTGGATCGCCAGGGGTGGGTGCTGGGGAGAGCCCAGTGTGTGCCAGGGCTTGTCAGAGGGGGATGCAGGTCCCAGCTCTGGCAGGGGGAGAGCCCTGATCTCTGAGAAGGACACCTTCCTCCCTGGGTAGCTCTGGAGCAGGAAGAAGTTTGTGGCTGGAGGCAGCCTCCACCCTGGGCTGTTCAGTGGGTGGTCCATCAGGAGCATGGCCCAGGAGCCCAGTGGATGTGGATGGGTTGTGAGCCTGGGCACAGAGTGTTTCAGGCACCAGAACTGGTCTTAGAGCCACTATCAGGGTGCTCTGGTGGCCACAGCCCCAAGAACAAGGCCCCTCACTTAGGAGCCACATGACATCCTTGCCCCAGACACATCAGATCCTGCTCTCTGGGTACTGGCCCCCAGCGGAGAGGGTCAGTCCCTAGAGCCTGTCTTTGCTGGGCACAGGTATAACGCACAGGAGTACTATGAGCGCCTGCCTGAGCTGCGACAGGCTATTGACCAGATCAGCAGCGGTTTCTTCTCCCCTCGAGACCCTGGTTGCTTCAGGGATGTTGTGAACATGCTCATGTACCACGACAGGTGAGTCCTGGCAAGGATCCCCTTTGGTGGGCTGCTCTTGGCCTGCCCAGGCCTCGTTCCCAGCTGGCCTGGGTCCCCCGGTGCAGTGCTCAAGCCCTGCCTGCCCGCAGAAAGATGTCTGGGGTCCCTGCCTGGCAGGGACCCCAGAGCAGGCAAACCCCAGCCTTACTCTGCTTTTGGTTTCAGGTTTAAGGTGTTTGCTGACTATGAGGCCTACATTAAATGCCAAGGGCAAGTGGACCAGCTGTTCATGGTAAGAGCTGCCTGCTGGTGAGGGGGAGGGATGAGCAGGGAGATGAGGGGGAGCCAGGGTGTGTGCCTGTGGAGCCCTTCTTAGAGACACCAGTGGGTACAGGGCAGGGTGAGGCAGGTTTTGATGCTTCAGCAGCTCCACACCATGATCTTTAAACCAGCCCGGTGTGCACAGCCAGTGCCCTGCAAGGCTGCAAGCCAGGCAAGGGACTGAGTGTTGACACTGCTTCTCCTCTTCCCAGAACTCCCGGGAGTGGACTAAGAAAGTCATCAGGAACATTGCATGCTCTGGCAAGTTCTCCAGTGACAGGACCATCATGGAGTACGCCCAGGAGATCTGGGGTGTGGAACCATCTGCCACAAAAATCCCCCCACCCAACCTCCCCCGGGATTGATGCAAGCACAGAGAGAAGGAAAGAGGGATGGGCTCCCGGCCCAGGAGACCTCACCTGCATTTAAATCACCACCCGTCAGATGGGCTCAGCACTGCCAAAACAAGGCCTTTCCCACAGGGGGGTTAGAATGATGCTCTGAGGAGGAGCCCTGACTGAGGAACAGGAGCTGGGGGAAAGGAGAAAGGACCCTGTGTTTGTACCCGTATATCCAGCCTGCATGTGCTGCATAAAGCTTCTAGTGAGATGACCACAGATAAGTCTTCCACAGCCATGTTCCATGCTTAACAAGGGCTTTCCAACTAACTCCTCCCCTTTCCCCCTGCATGCAGCCTGGCCTGGCCTCCCTGACTCTGCCCCAGAAGCAGGTTTAGCCAACAGTGTCTTGCATCCTCCTCCTGTGGGTCTGCCAGCCCCAAAGCTAGGGGACAGAGAGGCCCCTCTGGTCACCACCTTCCCCATAACACCTAGAAAAGCTGGGGCTGGCTGTAAGCCAGCTGGTCCCAGTGCAGGCACGAATGTCAAATGCCCATGTGCCAGAAGGAGGAGAGAGGGCCTAGGATCAGCAGCTTCCTTGCCACAGAGCTTGCCATAACTTCCTCCCACACCTCTTTGTTAAACTAGAATCTAAGTAACCAAGCCTCTCCAGGGATTTTTAGCCTCTGTGCCTGCTTAGAGAAGGCTCTACCTGCCACTTGCAGCTGGGTGGCTGACCCTGCTGGGCCCATGAGCCCTAAGCAGGCCCTTGGCTCTCCAGGCACAGCTGGGGGTGAATGTGGATCTTGTCTCTTGCATCCCTCCACAGCTGGGTCATGCTGCTCCACGTGTCCCTCCCAGTGCTGGGGTCTGAGTTTAACACCCCTAGAGCTGTGTAGTGCACCAGTAGTCCCCTGTGTGACACCAACTCATTAAAACAACCAGAACACTCGCTGGTTTGACTTCAGGCTGACTTGTGACTACACTACACTTGTGGATTCAGGTTGCAACAAGCTGGCCTTCACCAGCTGTGGCTTCATGGGATGTGGTCCCCTGCAGTTGGCATGGTGCATCATGCCCACAGCAGTGAGGTCAGTCTTCTAATGCAGGGGGTGGACAAGAGAGAGCTGGTACCAGAGGCTTCAGGACAGAGCCTGCAGCCCTGGAGTGTTGACTATATGCACTGGGGTGGGAGTTACAGTGCTGGGTTTGCCCTCTAAATGGCACACAGGGCTTCTACGCTAGAAATCCCATGGGCAGCTCCCATTTCCCCCATCCTCAGTGGGGAAGCAGACCCTCAGCTGCAGCCAGACTACAGGCACAGACCCACTGGACTCCAGCAGAGGCACTGTCCCAGAGCTGGCAGCAGCCACAAAGACCTGCCCAGTCCCAGCCCAGAGCTCATCTCCCATGCACAACCATACTGCAGCCCTGCCACACACCCTTCTACCCAAATAGAGAAAAAGTCCTCAAAACTGCCAGGTAAAACAGGTGAAGCTGAAGTGATCTGCAGTCAATGCCTTTATTAAAACTACACCACTTTCAGATAAACATTTCAGTTTAAATTTCCAAGCATATCACTGGCCTACTACTGGGAATGGCAGTGTTGGGATCACCAACACTAGCAGTTCACGTGCTGGGCCCTCAGCTCCATCACACAGAAGGCAGCCAGCCAGCCTCCGGCTCAGGCTGTGTTTTGCCCCAAGCCAGCTGCCAGCAGCAGCATTAGCTGGAATGTGTACATCACTCTCCAGAGCCAAGTAAGTGTTTCTCTTCTGTCAGTGCAATAAATACGAGCGTGTCAAACATAATTTAAGTGGCACAGTTAGCTTATGAGTATCATGGGTCAGAAACCTCGGGGACAACCACACTATGGCAGAAGAATCTCAGTACAAGAACAAGCTACTGTCTGCTTTGCAACTAGTATGAGCCTGCAGATATAACTTGGATGCATGCTGAGCAGTTTATACTATGCTGTACACCCCTGAACAGACCCTTTGGGCAGCACAATTAAGCACTAGTGACTAAACCTACAGCACCGGGTATTGTCTTATAGACTGACAGGGGGCAGGGCTGGCTCCCCAGCCAGACACCAGAGTCAGCATATGACCCTCTCAGTGCAGAGCTCAGTGGCATAAACCAGCCCCTCTTCTAGCCCCAAGCAGGGCAAGGACATTCTCAGAACCTCTCTCCGTGGGAGAGGCTCATTCCCACTTCTGCTCCCTGGAAAACATGCTCGGACCATGGCTGTGAGATGGGCTGAGAAGTGCTATTGGAAGTGCCTGGGATGCCCAGAACACAGAAGGGAGATGGGAGGAGAGATGGAGAGGGACACCCCAGACTTATTTTTGCATCAAGAAGTACATACCACTGCCTGCTTTTAACTGCATAGGAACAATGCAGCCAGCAGGAACAGGAAAACCTGACCTAAGGAGTTAAAAGGTAGTCGAGGGAAAAAAAACCTGCCCTTCCCACCCAAAGGAAGCACATGACTGACTGGGTGTGTACAGGGAGAATGGAAGACCGCCATTCCCACATCCTCAGCCCATGCTGTTCGTGGCAGGGGGGAGATCAAGCAAAAAAGTAATCTCACACTTTCTGGCTTAAACTCCCAAGTTTGCAAGTTACCTACATAAATCACTTCAGTTCTAACAGGAAGTGCATGTGAAGAAGGGGAGGAGCTCCACAGACAGTAGCAGAGATGGAGCGAAAATGATGTTCAAAAGAAAAAGAGTACAGAAGATAGAGAAGGGCAGTAAACTTTTCCACTAAATAGGAAGAAAAACAAAAAAAAAAATCTTTTATTTCCAAATGTGTGCAATTAGCCCAACACTTGCAACACACTGTGACTGAAGAGCTAAATAAAAATATCTCTCACCACCTGGATCTTCCATGTATTTGTAATTACAGCCACTTAGCAAAAAAGTAAAGGCAAAACATGTACTTCCTAGAAAGAGAACACTTCAAACTCAAGCAAGACAACTGTGGTATGGAGACATGGCAAAAGCCATTTGCTTACAAATGAGTCTCTACATGACTCAAAACCAGCAGCAGTGTTTAAAAGTGAAAGAAACACCCTTGGTCATGACATACGTGTCCTAGGAATGTCTGTCCTCAGTGGTACCATGCTGGAGTGGCCAGGCTTTGTTGTGCTTACATTTTTAGCGGTTTGGTACTGGCTCCTGGGCTGTTATTACCCCTCAACCCATGTCAAAAAAGCAGCCAACAACTTCTTTCTTCTACCATCACAGACGTTGATGCCAGGAGCTGGAGTTGCCAAGGGTACACATCAGGACCGGCGTGGGAATCCCTGACCACCTCCAGTGTCAGGGATGGAAGAATGGCAGACTGACCCACAGGGAGAGGGAAGGAAAAGGAGAGAGAGGAAGGAAAGAAAGGAAAATCTCTGTGCTGCCAAGCAGCCAGTCTTCAGTGATGATGTTCATGTTCAGATTTTCCCAGGAATTCCCTAGGAAAGGAAATGACACAGCAGTTGACACTCAGCTCTCCTACGCTCTGATGCATTCTGCAGCCTGCAGGTCTTCCCATTCCCCTGGCAAATGCTAGGGCTCAAACACTTGCAGCTACAGAGAATAGCACTAAGCTTTGCTCTCACCCATCAGCAGCTTCCACTAGAAGAGGCAGGCAGAAATAACTGCTGCAAAAACTCCTCCAGAGCATCCAGCTCACAGCAGAGATGAGCCAGAGAGAAGTGCTCCCCTTTCTGTGGCTCCCCTTCCCAAAACCTGCTTTGCAGGGAGGTGGAGAGCTCTGACTGTGCTAAACCAGCCCCAGTATCTCACCCACTCTGGAGACCAAAGAGGTTTTCAGAAGAGCTGCCCAATACAGGCGCCTGTTATACATCTCTCGCTCCTGGGCGCATGTCACAGTGTGCCCCAAAGCCCCAAGCCCCATCCCCAAGCCCCATCAGACCCCAGTTAGCTGGGCTGTTACCGCAGTATTCGAGGTAGCTCTGGACTCCTGTAGATGTACTTGTGCCGGTAGCCAAGGTCTGTGTGGAATGGAACAAACTGCACCTTGTAGTCTCGGAAACTCCGTGATGTTGCAGCAATGTTGTAAAGCTGTGTCAAAGGGGAGGCAGGTGAGGGACACGTATCACTCCAAACCAGCTACCCCTGCCAAACCAGCACCCATCTCATGGGTGAGTTATGGGCCCTGGCTTGACCAGCTTTGCTAGCTCTAACTCCATTTCACTACTGATTTGCCACGTCCAACACCACAGAATTTGTAGTCCCTTCAGGCTCTGCACTTCTTCATACACCTTCCTATTGCTGACTCTTTGCCTGGCTGGGATGTTGTTCTAGCCACACCAGTTCCTCCCACCAGATCAGTCTGCAGAGCCCCATGTGTACCTTCTTTCCCAGATGAAATGGTACCACCGGGTCATCCTCAGCATGAAGGATAAGCAGGGAACAGGAAATGTATTTCACACTGTAAAAGAGACAACAGTCACAAAGGCTCAGATCAATCCCATCACACTCTAACACCAACACACTTGGATTTTCAAGGAAACTGCAATGTCCTGTGGGTCATTAACTACAGTTCAGATCTTGAAAACACTATTATGGGCACCATTCATTTGATCTATAGAAAATTTACTAGTGAAAGGCATCTTTGTAAAAGCTATTTGCTGCTTAGACTAGAGAAAAGTGGCTCAACCCACTGCAAAGCATCATCCCCCCCAAGCTCTGGTTTGGTTTCAGTACTGAAAATCACTCACAAATGCTCAGGCTCCTGAATGAAAGGCTCAGTGAAAAGAGGTAATGTTATTACACACAGTGTCTTATGCAAATGCACAGCAGAGAAATCTCAAACCTTCAATGTCCCAATGCTACTGTTTAACATGTAACATACACTTGAAAAGTATAAATCACATGGACCAAATCAGCATATCCCTGAGCAGCCTCTGTCCTCTCTGTTACATCTGTCCTTATTAAGAACCATCAAAAGAGTTCCACAGTGCAAAGCTGTGTTGCACTCAGGGCTACAAGAGTAACTGAAATCCCTTCAGGAATGCTTCAACAACAAAACAACAGCAACAAAAAAAAAAAAAAGCAGAGAGTGCAGTCTAATGTCTATCCTCCTTGATGCTTGCCATGGCTCACTGCACCACAGCTGAAAACCCAGCAAAGAGGGAACTCACTTCTCATCGTTTGCAAATTTAATTCCGCTTGTCGTGATGGGGTCAAGGAAGAACCAATCAAACCCAGGGAAGTATCTGTATATCTGAGAGGAAAAATTTGCATTAGTGGCAGGCACTAGCAGGACAGTTACACAAACAGCAGTAACAGGGCAGGCCACTGCCATCCCAGTAACATCCCCTGGCTGCACCCTCTGCAGTGAGATGGTCTGTGCATTATTTTTCCTCTCTTGTTTTAGGGCCATCTTATCGGCCTGCTCAGGAGCAGGCTCTTTGGGTGCTTGTATGGTCAAGGTCTCTAGGTATCATGCTGCTGCTGGCAAGAGAACTTTATCCCAGGTCACCTCAGCAGCCCAGCCACATCCAACAGCCGGTCTGGGTGTCTGCTCAGGTCAGAACCAACTCGCAGCCATGCTGGATGGAAGAGATGGCTGCATCAGAGTGAACTCACCAGGGAAACCACACAAGTGCAAAGGAGCCACATGGACAGGGTAGTGATCAAGAAAAGCCCAACTTTGCCATTGCTTTGCTCACAGCCCACAAAGTAGTCTCTTGCAACAGAGAAGCTACAACACAAGAACAGGCTGTCCACTGCTGAGAACAGAGTGTATCTTCCCCTCTCTACATTTATTGCCCCTTCTGAAGCAAGTTTCTGTTTTCATTAAGCAGGCTCGACATATGGCTCTGGGAACTCCTTTTAGGACTAGCGCTCCCAGGAGCTGCCCTAGGTGCAGCTCTTTACCCCTGACACATAAATATCACTGCTGCCCCACAAGTCACACACTTAGCTCAGTTATATCATGTCTGAAGGTTAATTTCTAAGCATACAATTACACACCACTAGTGAGAACAGCACTGTGTACTTGCCACAGAAAATGGGTGACTGCGTGCCTCCTCCCGTATGTTGGTGAACGGAGACTCCAGTATCAGGGCATCTGGTGGTGTTTCTGAAAAGCCGAAGGCAATGTGCTGAAATGCAGGGGTGCAGATAGCCAGCTAGGTCAGGGTCTGCCTTGTAAGAGCAGCTGCCATCACGGTGCACCAAGGACAGTCTTGTCACAACAGCAAACATATGTGGAAATCTGGGACACTAGCAGGACCCAGGCTGGGTGGGAAGAGCATCCACCTGCCAGACTTACCTCTCTCACAAAGGCGCCTCACTAGATTTGTTGCGACCCTGGAAAGAAGAACAACGAGCGCTTAATCTGGCATAGGCCCTTTGCAAAGCACCAGGCTCTAGTGGTAGTAGGTGGCAGAGGTACCACTCCACTGCGACAACATCAACCCCTCACACTGTCTGAGGTCTGGGCAGCCAGCTGACTTGGGTTCCCACAGGTCTTCCAACTGTCTCAAATGGCACCAGGTGCTTGCATTTAGGTAAGTGAACAGCAAGCACACCATGTAGCTGCTTGGAAGGACCTCCTTTAAGGTGGCTCTCAGGCTCCCAGTATATCTGCAGCTGTATGACACAGTCTCTTACCCCTAGACAAGGGCTGAGCAAGAAAGAGGGGAATGCAGGGGTATGGGTAGAGGGGTGCTGTGTTCCAGGCAGCTGGAATGCAGGGTCCCAGAGTGACACTGCAGTGAGTTTCCATGTCTGGGTCAGAAAGCACAAGGTCCCCCCCATGCACGTCCTTAATGAGATAGGGATATTTCCAAAGTTGTTGAACCCTTCACAAGCACAGCATATTTCAAAAACCTCAAACTCCAGGCTAGCTACAGTCACCAGGGAACTCAGCTGGGGACCACAGACACAGGCCACTCAGATTACAGTGGAGTGAGAAATGTCACAAACATGCTCTGACCCAGAATGTGATCCCAAACATGGCAAAAATTTAGAGGAAAAGCCAAAGGAAAAGCCTTTGCCTTCTCTCAAACAAAGCAGGATGGTTAGTATCACAGTAGTGAAGAGGCACTATCCTGAAATACTTCCCTGTCCCAGAAACGCATTTGATAGACAGTAAGACAAGGTGTTGTGGTACAAAACAGCTCAATCTGCACACAGCTCAAAAGTAACTTGCGTTTGCCCTCTGCTCCTCCGCAAATCAACGGGTTAAGGGCACACACTGCCTGCTGAACACAACCCACTTCCAGATAGCAATGGAAAGGGAGGAAGCAGGAAAATAAAGTTAAAATCATTCAAGCAAAAGCACTTGACACTTTGAACTTCCCTACATCAGGTATGACCATGTAAATGTCACAGATGGCCAGCAGTGTAGTCATGCAGGCATCTGCATGAGTACTGATTACACACGGCATGTTTGCCAGGACAGGAAGAAAACGTTTTGTGAGGGCAAGTCACATGCACGTGCAGCTGGTCTGAGATACTCTTTCAGAGTTACCAGAGAAGCCTAATGTTCTACTCTGAAGGACATATAGACGCGGGTTCACTACAGGAAGAGAAGACTGCGGTCCCACTCTCTCTCCCCTTGGTCAATCAGCATTATATTACTGTAAGTGGTTTTTTTCCAGTGTAACCCTCTGGCCAATGAAGATTTAAAATCAGTTCCTGCGTAGTCATTCCCTGTAGCCTTTCTCACTCCACAGAGTGCAAGGGGGAAGCTATTCTGCAGCAATTATGACACAGACTCCAAGCCAGCCTGGGGATTATAGCTAATAGCACCTTTAGCCAAGGTCAGTGTTTAATGTTCTTCAGAAGCTGCTAAATCCTACTGAGATTAGATGCTTACCCTGTGCCCAAGGAGTGTCCCCATATATAGACGGGGTTTTCTCCACTTCTTGCTTTTATCCAGTCGAAGACATGAAGGGCATCGTAGGTCATTCCCCGCTCTGATGGGCTGCCTATTGAATCGCCCCAGCCTGAAACACAAGTAGTCCTTCTGACAATCGCACAAACTGGTCAGCAAAGCCAGTCAGCTCTTCCCATGTAGCCCATCTGCAACTGCAGAGGGACCTGAGACATGGACAGTTTATTTCACCATGCACCTCTACAATTTGGGGCTAAAAGCCCTGATTCATCAGAAGTCATTTAAACAAGGTAATTGCTGGCTGCCAAGGAGGTTTTGTGAATTTAGCCAACAAAACCAAGACCTAGATCTCAAACACTGCCATGCTGTGTTCTTGCACCTATCTGCAACAGCCCAGCTCCCAAACCATAGCTGCTTTTGCATGCATGTCACCAACTTGTAAGTGGAGTCTCTAACAGTGTAAGAACTGGATGCTTAGGGTCAAAAAATAAGCATTTCACAAAGCAACATCAGCTTGTCCATGTTGTTCAATCAGTGCCCTCAAGCAATTTTCCACCCTCCTGATTGTTTTGGCTCTATCACTATTACAACGCGTCTACACATCTTATGCTAAGCGGCAAGCATCCCACATCCCTTCTGACACCTAATAAGCAGTCAGAGAAGCAGCTGCCAGCAGGACTGAAAAACAGGGCAAGCTCGTGCAAATAAATCTCTCCCAGATGTCTTCTTGATAAAAATGCAACAGATTAATTTCTTTCCTGTCTCTCCAGTGGCATTACACTGCAGTCATGCCTTAAATACTAAGGGAAAAAACGAGCAGCAGATGCTTGCCTGCTGGTGGCACAAGTTGCAAAATGGTCATGGCTTCTGGCAAGGACCTTACCAATTGTTAGCAAATCATTTACTCTATGTCTTATCTTACCTATCAGCTTTTTAAAAGAAGTGCAAGTTCATTTCCCTGTATGACCTCAGGAAAGTCAATTAGAACATATCCAAAAGACTACATCTAGGCAAGCTTACTAGTTTCCAGATGTGCACCTGGAGGATGTCTTAACTGGATGCTGTGACAGCATATTTGCCTGGGTCACCCCTCTGCTCCTTAGCTCCCAAACCAACAAGCCCTGTGCATGAGAACAGATAGGAAGCAGTGCTACACAAGAAGGCACCAGAAAGAAATTTCTGAAAGTTCTTTGGATACCCATGAACTAAAAAGAAGCAATAACCACATCTAATTAGCTGGCAGCAAGCATTTATGAAAAAACAGTTCCCCTGAGATCCAGAAGAAAGTAACTTCTTTGTTGCTTCTACAGAAAGAGATGTCTAAAAGTGTTTCATAATAAAAGAAGCCCACATACCTCGATAATCAAACGTGACCACGTGGTACCCAAGGGAGCTGAGAACCTGGAGGGCAGAGAAACATGCAGAAACCCATCACAGATACTTGCACAGCAGCCGTTCTCTTGCCTCAGGCCAAGGTGCAGGGATCGAATTTATAACATTATCAGCCTGACACAATAACGCAACAACTTATAGCTTTTCTTTGTAGCTGGCATAGAGCTTTTCAAACACTAATCATCTCAGCCTGCTGGTTTTACACCATTTGTTTCCTCGACTTTGTATCAGGCTTAGATGTTGATTCTCCCTTTACCAGCTTTGCCTTTAAGGTCTGCAAATATCCTATGACCATTTACCCTACAAACACTTTCCAGTTTTCCTGTGAAACAGTACAACTGCTTCACTTATATTATTCAAACTGGCATAAATGTTAGCATAATATATAGGAGCCTGTTTCAGAAAACTTAAATAAATGCAACTAAAATTGCTCTATCACAAAGATCTATATTACAACCAATGGTAATCATAACAAAGTCTGTTAAAAGCAAGTAATAATACCCAATGTTAGATCAACTTGCTTGGAAAAAGTGCCTTGGTAAAAACAATGATAGCATTCCAAGCTACCATTGCTGGTAACATAACGTGAACATAACAGCACTGTGGTAGATAAAAAATGAACAAAAAGTCACAAAAAAATTGAAATGTTGCTGCTGTCATGATACGTGATTTTAAAAAAGCAATCTTAGTATTACAGTATACTCTAAACCTTCTAATGGACAAAAGGAAATCATCTCCTGTGTGAAACCAACACTTTATTTCTAGTGTAATTGAAATCTTAACAGCCTAAACAATTACTGTTACTAGTTCCAATCTCATTATTACAGAAAAAAAAGAGAGGAAGAGGACAACATAGAAAAGAGGGGTGTTCAGGTAAGCTGATAACTCCTTTGCTGGGAGGACTGTGATGGTGACAGTTTCTCCCACTTCCCTCTAGGACCATTTGGGGCTAATTTTCATACATTTCAGACATGCACTGGATGTTTCTTTCTCTTCACTGGTCTGTGATCCCAAATTACTTTATGGGGCGTGTTCAGCATACACTGGGTACATTCTCTTTGTTACCTCTAAATCCAATTTTGCCCAGCTCCCAGGTCTGCACCTCTGTAGTCTGTACACAGCCCGGGGGTCTCTGGGGTCAGCCTGTGCCCTGTTCCTTGCATGCATGTACCTGCGCTCCTCAATGCCTTCTGTGTTCCCATCCCCCAGGTCTCTGCTGTCAGACCAGCCTTGGTTGTTGGACCCCCCTGATGGGACATGCAGAACACAAAGTTCCTTCTCGCCAAGTCTGATTTTCAGCTTTACAATGTGATTTTACTGCTAAAACATCACATACTATCTAGCCTTTTCCAGGCCATTAAAAATGATTTAACCTGATGGCTGTATTGGCAGCATCCCTCCTCAATAACAAATGGATGCACTTTTATTTTAATTAGCAGCTGTTACATTTAAAAACAGATTTTTACCATTCTCTATTTCTTAACTTTAACACATCCATTGCAATCATGCACACAGAACTAATGTTTCATTTTCAAAGCCAACTGTACCCCAATTCCACTAGAAACTTCGTTATTCAACTAGTCCTTCAACTTCTATCTGCTTAATTACTGATAAATAATTATCTGATAATGTTTTCAATTCAAATATTTTTTCTTTCTGATCTCCATCCTAGGTTTCTTTTATGTTTATGCTCATTTATGCTTTGCACCTGTGCTATTGGAGCTGGGTACACACCTCACTCTGGGAGCTCAGCCCTTGCAACAGGAGACCATCGCTGTTCACCCCAGGTCACTGTTCCCATGGCAGCTCTGCCTTCTGCCACCTGAATATCCACCTTCTCCCTGTTTGTTTTCCTTCAAGCAGCCCTTCAGCACCTGGTTCTCCCCCTGCATTTACCTTCTCAGATCATTGGTCTGACCTGTACCAGCCACCACCTGCACCTCCTACCTGTCAAAGACCACCACAGAGTGGCCTCCAGCTTCCCTCAACCCCAATCTGAGTCTGAACCCCCCCAGCACAGCCCTATCCTCAAATCCTGCCACTCAGCACAGCCAAAACCAGCAAGGGAAGCACCCAAGATAGCTGCTATGCCTGGAAAGATCGTGAAGTGTCCTGAAGAGGGACAGGAATGGCATGATGCAAGCCCAGCCAGATTCTCCTCTCGCCACTAGGAGCCAGGACCTGTGAAGCTACACAAAATAAATTCACCTGGTAGAGAACAGGGGATGCTGCAGCATTAGTCTGTCTGGCTTTTGTCCTGATCAGCTGCAAAATGTAACAGCCCTCTCACAGCAATAAGGATGCCCTCAAGACATTCCCCCGGCACAGGTAGCAGCAATGTCCATGCTCACCTAAACTTAGGCAGGCCATGCTCAGGACCCCTGACCACTAAGACCTGCCTCCTCACAGCCCAGCCCAGCATAAGCCAGTGTGCTCAGTTCTCCTCTCCCTAGCAGAGAGCAAGGACAAAGACCTGGGGTAAAGATGATGAAGATCATCTCATGCTTTACCAAAGGAAGAAGCTGATGGAGTCTCCCAGTCCTGCACCCACTCAACTCAAAGGTGAACCACGAGCAGGGGCTCATTCCTCCAAGGACCTGCCAAACGCCAACCATGGGCACTGCCTGGCTCATGCACTTTAGAGGTGCCTTTCTCTTCCAAGGAAAAGAAGTGAGGCTGAGGAATGGGAACAAGCAGTTAAAGCAGCAGAAATTGTCACTACCACCATTGCAGCTGCCAGAGCTGTAAGGTGCCCACCTCAGCCTTCATGATGCAGGGCCCCACACTAATAGCACCCCCTGCTTTAGAGCATGGCTCTGCTACCCATGCACCTTCCTACCTACCCTGGCACTGGGCAGCTGCAGCACCTAAACACCCACTTTCCAAGAGGAAAGCAGACATGCAAAAAAGGCCAAACTACAGCCTATCACAGTGGATACAAAAAAGGAAGAACCTCCAACATCCAGCTCCTCCTGGTGATGAACAGACAGTGATGATGAGCTGTAACATCCCTGCCTGAAGCCATCAACGCTGGGAGCATCCCAATCCTATGCCCTACACTAACAGTGTCTTCTTAGTTTGTTTGGTTTTTGGGTTGTTTTTTTTTTAAGAGTATTTTTCCTTCTTGTTTTACGCCTTAGAATTAGTTTAGAAAGTCTCAGATGAAGTCAGTAAGATTTCAGTTGGCCTTGCAGATAATAGGCATTTCCTTTGACCCTTAACAGGATGCGTAACAATGACATGTTTTGTTTATAGTAATTACTTATGCCCCTATAACAATACTGTATTGTTTCATGTGCTGCTATAAAGCTGGGTAACCTCATGCAGTGGGAAAAAAAACCTCTGCATCAGCTCTCCACCACTATCCCAGCACATCAGTGCAGTAACAACTAAACGCTTCACTGCCAAAGCCTCAATGTACAAGTATGAATTGCAGAAGGAGCTTGTGGTAGTCTATCACTGACAGCCAAGGTCGCTAAGAGAACAGGATTCTTGTGAATTTTAAAAGGTTTTGAGTTGCATTATTTAAGCATGAATAACTTAAACAACATGAATAACACAGTGACTCTGAATACACTGATAACTGTGGTATCTGGACACCTGTCCAGACTACGAGAAACCATGTCCCTCAAAGCGAGTTTGTATCTTGTTACTGCTCTGCTGCTGCTCCTCCTACTTCTGATTACTGTCTTCAAAACACAGTGATTCAGTCAAGAACAATTTTGGACACCTGCTGCTCACAGACTGTGCAGCAGTGACAGTCACAATTTTCAGTGCTGCAGCTGAAAAAAACTGCTCACATGAATCAGTTGCTCAGAAAGAAAGAACAGACACCTCTTAAAGTTATTTCCCCTTTGAGTGTCTTCTAGCGGGTTCTCCCTGCTCCTTCCAGCCTACTAGCAGCACCAGCAAAAAGGGCAGCAATCCAGCCTGCTTCATTCTGCTAGAATAAGCATGAACGTGGAGCATCTGGTGTGGTTCTGGTAAGCCCATAGGTGTGTTCGCATGTCATTAACCCACTGAAAAAGACAAGACAAGCAACTGGTCTATGTTCTCAGAAGCAAAAGAATATCAGACCCAGGAACAGAAACCTTGGGTTTTGGTAAACCGTGTCTGCAGAGAGGCACATAAAGACTTTAAGTATTCTGAAGCACTGTTACTCTTGCTCAGCCAAAATACAAAACAATTCCTCTGCCCGTCTTGGCCAGCACAAAATGCAATGCAGCATAGGTTGGTTCCTAGAAAAAATGACCAGATAGATCACAGTACACAAAAGTATCCTCAGCCAACTTTTTGCAACTCAGTTCATCCTTTTTTCTTAAAGGAAAACCACCTGCCTCCTTGGGGTTGCCAAAGCATTTTCTAAGTGATCTGACTTTGCAGCAGGGGATCTTGCATAAGGAGCTGCAATGCAATAAAGCTTTATGAGTGCCAACACTCTGACACAAACTATAAAGAGAAAGGAATGATAGCTAAATGCATAGAAAAAACACAAACTCAGACCCCTCTGAAATGAGCCAGCAAAAATAATTACGGCTCTTTTAGAAACAGACAATAGGAGACCAAGAAATGGTGTGTGGGAACTTGAGCTGAGAGAGTTTAATAAAATAAATGACTGCAAAAGTCATTAGGCAAAAGACCCAAAACAGCTGAAGTAGCTTGTTCTCATATAAACACACCATACTGCTACGTCTGGGAAATTAATTGGGTTTTGTACAAAATCTCCAGCACTTAAGATGGCAGCACTCACACAAACGCACTATGCCATGGAAAAGGCGGAAACCCAGGCTGAACCTGCCTGCGTGACAAGCGATGAAGTAACTCCTGAACTGGCAACCTTGAGAATGTTTCATCGCAACAAATTGGTCTGTGAATAGGCAAACACTAGCTTTGTCACCAACAGGGAGGTTTATAGTGACTCGGCCCAACATTCTGGCATTTAAAAGATCGAACATCACCTTCAAAAGTTTGAAGGGTGTGAGGAATCTGAGCTGGCCTCAATCCACATGTAATTTCCCAGCAGTTGGTGATGTACGGCATCCTCACAACAAAACCTGCATTAAGACCAGTGCCAAGAAGAAACAATGGCAAGTTATGGTCGTTGACAATTCCCTCCTGTGCAGAACGGAAGCACCCATTTGCAGACCAGACCCTCTTTTTGGAGAAGTTTGCTGCGTCCCTGGGGCCCAAATTAGGGATGTCACCACAAGAATGAAGACAACCTTAGTACAACTTCAGACTACTATCCATTCCTGGTCTTTCACTATTGATGTTGCAACACAAAGTCTGAGGTCAATCAAAAGAGGTTTCAGGAGCACAGGTAGTGTTTTCCTCAGTCCACGCTGTAACAGGGGAGACTTCAGAAGAAACAGGCAAACCCAGGATATCAACACCTGGCTCCAGGACTGGTGCCTCTGCCAAAATTTTGGGCTTTTAAACTATGGAAGAGCCTTCAAGACACAAGGTATGCTGGGGCCCGAGAGGATCTACCTGTCCAGATGGGGAAAACGCATCTTTGGGTGTAAACTGGTGGGACTGATTTGACAGAGCTTTAAACTAGAATTGATGTGAGAAGGGGATATCAACAGGATTGCAGGCTTATGCCAAGAGCTGGCATGGCATCGCCTGAGGGTGGCAATACTAGTAGGAACATTTACACTGCTCCCGGGAGCACGGAAGGCTGAGAGGCTTATCTGAAATGCTTGTACATCACCACAGTATGAGAAACAAACAGGATGAACTGGAAGCACTGGTTAGTTTCCCAGAACTATATCATTGGTATTAGTGAGATTCGGTAGAACAAGTCCCACACCTGGAGTGCTGGGATGGAAGGCTACAGGATGTTCAGGAGGAAAAGGCAGAGCAGGTGAGGTGGAGGTGTCATACTGCATGTAAGGGAGGGGTTTGATTGCACAACCCTTACAGTTAGAGATGATGTGGTTGAGAGCCTCTGGTGAGGATTAGGAGAATGGAAAAGAGATGTTGTAGTGGTTGTCTACTACTGATAGCCCAGCCAGGATGTAAGCACTGATGAGTTATTCTATAGACAATTAGGAGAAGATAACTTCTTGTCACAAGTACTCAGTGAGCCAACTAAGGAAGATGCTGCCCTAGACCTGCTGTTTCTGAATAGAGAAGGACTTGTGGGAGAAATGATGGTAGAAATGATGGTAGATAGGTGGCTGTCTTGGCCACAGTGATCATGAAATGGTTGAGTTTAAAATTTTCAACATAACAAAAAAGGACAGCAGAGTTGCTAGATAGATTGGAGCATTGGGCAATGATTAATGGGATGAAACTTAACAAGTAAAAATGCTGGAATCCACACCTAGGACAGAGTAACACTGGGAATAAGTATAAATTGGGAAGAGTGGCTGGAGAGCAGCCCTGCAGAAAGGGATCTGGGGGTGCTGGTTGGCAGCAGGTTCAATATGAGTCAGCAGTTGTGCCCTGGCATCCAAGAGGGCAAACTGCATCCTGGGGTGCATCGAACACAGCATAAGCAGCCGATCAAAAGAGGGGATTGTCCCACTGTATTTAGTGTTGATGCAGCTTCACCTTGAGTACTGTGTGCAGTTCTGGGCCCCACAATTTGAGAAGGGCAAGAGGATACTCGAATGCATCCAGAAAAGGGTGTGGGGAAGTAATGAAAGATCAGCAAAGAAGGATCGTAAACATGTTCAAGTGACATGCAGCTGGGGTGTCAAAACACACATGTATCGTACTAACTGTTGTTTCACCTTGTGTGTTGGACAAGTAGAACATCTGTGTACAGAACACACTTGAGATTCCTACCCTGCTGTGGCAAAGATCACAGCACAGTGATAAATTATGCCCGTGCAAACCCCTGAAATACAGGCAAAACCAGCAGGTTCAGTGATCCTCTAGCATGGACCAAGCTCCATGGTGCCTGCACTCCCGCCTGTGTGCCTCTGCCTGGGTGCTGCTTCAGGGATCCCCCAGTTGGTAACAAAGTTCACTCTGCATTTCATCTGTGGTTTTGTTGTTGCTCCTGTACCCTGCCTGTGCCCTGCCTGTGCCAGCTCACACACAGGGTGACAAAGCTGGGTGAAAAGGCTGGAAGGGATGTCCTATGTGGAGCAGCTAAAGACTTTAGGTTTGTCTAGTTTGGAGAAAGGGAGGTTAAGGAGCAACCTCAATTGCTCTCTGCAGCTTTCTGAGGAGGGAAAGTGGAGAGTGAGGTGCTGATCTCTTCTCCCTGGGATCCAGTGACAGGACACACAGGAACGGTTAAAAGCTGTGCCAGGGGAGGTTTAGACTGGACATTAGGCAGCATTTCTTTACTAAGAAGGTGGTTGAACACTGGAACAGGCTTCCTAGAGAGGTGGTCAATGTTCCAAGACTGTCAGTGTTTAAGAGGCATTTGGACACTGTGTTTTAACTTTTGGTCAGCACTGAAGTAGTCAGGCAGTTGGGCTAGATGATCACTGCAGGTCCCTTCCAACTGAAAATATTCTTTCTATTCTGTGACAGTCAGTAAGTATATAGAGACTGGTAACATATGAAAGAATACACTTAAATGGTACCTCAAATAGTATACTAGCATAATCAATCAAATTACAGCTGTGATTAAATAAAACTCTTCTCAATTTTTCCCCATAAACTGTGTTGTAACAGTATTCCTGGGAAAAAAAATAAAAGGTTAGCTCACTTGGAGCTGACAGTTAACAACAACAAATAAAAGACCTTTCAAATAATTTTTAATATGGGGAAGTGTGCTCAAGGCTTACAGAACCCTTTTTCCATACATGCTTCATATTCAGAGGAGATTAAGCTATCTGCCTGTTGGCAGTGGGCTGTAATGAGCAGTCTTCTCAAGTCTGTGCACATCTGATGTGTTAATTCAACTGCTTGGACAACACATGCAGCCACTTACCTTGTAAAGCTCCACGCGGTGATCCCCTCCTCTGGCAAAAGTGATTCATGAAGAGAAGAGGAGGAGAAATAAAACACCAAAACATAAACAAAACAACAAAACACACCACATGTGAACATTTAAGCTTCCAGAAACAGACTTTCCCAATTGCCTCAGGCTTCCAGTTTAACACAAACATGCCAAACAAACACCATAACTGCTTTGTCACAGGCTTCTAGGAGACAGCAAGGCTTTGCTGACCTATGCAGGACATAGTTTTGAAGCTAACTTCTCCCTATACATCTCTTCTCACAGCAGGTAAAGGCAAACTTTTCAAACCACCCTCCTGTCTGCGTTTTCCAAAGCCTGTAATACATCCAAAACAGCCTGTCCCTCCCTATTGGCTTTACAGACTCTGTGCTCCTGCCACCAGTGCTGCCCCAGCCAGTAACTCCTGCTCTAACAAGGGGTGAGGCTCTGATCTGAACCCACCAGGTTAACCCAAGCAGCTGGCCCTTGGATTTTCTCAGCTGGCTCCAAGCACAGGGACAGAAAGGCCATGTGCTAAAGACTGATCATAGAAAACCAGAGTTGAACACTGTAAATAAGTCCGGGGGAAGAATCTGCCTTTTTTTTTTTTTTCATAAATTGAAATCTAGACAATAAAAATGGAGAGTAAATGCCATTACATGCTTTAAAATATATCCAGAACATGACATGGCTAATCCACATCAAACTTTAGTCTAGTATTGATGTAAGGGGAGATTTACTCCTGCACTCATGAAAAATCTAAACATTCACACCATGACCGGTTTGGTCAGTGCAGCCTCTAAAGCAAAATGCCATTTACCAGACCTCCCTCTAAGAACATACGCGCTTGTGAGCCAAAATCTGCCGGCTCCAACCGTGCTACAAAATACTTAATGCAGACAAAACCACTCAGGGCAAAATGCAAGGAGTTGCTTGTAAGTCATTCTGAATCATACAAATCTGAAGATGATGATGATACACTTCCTTGAAAAGTCACCCTTGACATGCAGACATTGGTGCCTTTTCATGCCTTCCTCAAAGCACAACAGAGGAATTTTTTCTAAGAGAGGATCAAGTAAATACAACATCTTTGCCTCAGCTTCAGACTGCTCGAGGGAACCAGAAAGCAAAGGCAGTGCTTTTTACTTATGGTTAATGCAGCCTGCATCAATAAAACAACCCTTTAACAAGAGTCTGAACATGCAGTGTAGAAACATAAAGCAATACACATTAAAGCTGAAATGGCAATGCCAATACACCTCCAGCTTCTCCAATACACAGAGTAAAGTGAAATGTGAAATATCTAATTGATCCATAGCTCAGTACTTTATCTCCGAAGCACTTGGGGGACCCAAGAAGTAAATCTAATCAATACGCATATAGAGATACTGGTCCCAAATTGCCACCATTAAGCTGCAGAATAGCTTCCATTAGTATCATTTGCTACACCCAATACAGGCAAGAAAACAAGCAAAGCAGTATTTGAAAAATAACGCAACAATTTGATTAAACCTTGTAATACATCAGCACAAGATGATGGGATCAGTTTCCAAAAACCCAGCTGCTCATGCATTTCCTGGCTCACAGTATGCATTTCCCACACCATGCCCTTCTACCAAAGAAGAACACTGCTAAGACAAGAATTTAGGTGTAAAAGGGCAGTGCTCCTGAAATGTAAAGACTAGTGAACCTTCACTACCAGCACACTTAGAACAGTTTTTTTGCTTTACATCATGGAACTTGTATTTTTGCAATGTTCCTGCTCTTGTAGAGTATCTACAAGCAGACATTGGTTTCAAAAGAACATCCACTGGCATTACTCTTTGTAAGATGCATATTAGATAGGAAAAAGACTATATTCTAATAAATGAACTAAAGCACTGTATCAGGCAGAGATGTGACAGTAAAAACATGATTCTGAGAAACCTCCAGGAAGTTTCACACTGTGCTAGTCATTTTTAGCATTCAGTAACAAAGTATAGAGAACCAACCTACTACATTAGCTGATACATGTGAATTTTAGAAATGCTCCTGTTTCTGACAAATGTCCTGTATATATGCAATAATGAAACAAAACCAGCACATTACCTTCCTCTTTCTCTCTGGTTTTCCTTCCTCAGAATGCGTTAACTACTAAAATAAGCTCAAAGGAACTGGAAAGTTTACTTAATGCATGGAAATCACATATACAGAAGCACTAATACTACCCCATGTCTTGAATCAGACCACTATACTGAAAAGAAGTACTTCTCCCTACATGATCTAGTGTCACAGCCTCCTGGTTTCTAGCAGAGGATACAAGGTAAACTACAATACCAGATATCTCTGGTAACTGCAATAATCTATTCCTACATTCAATAAATTGAGAGATACAACTTCTTAAAACATGCTTTCCTTTTAAAAGGAAAGAGAAGTACCAAACTGCTTTTAAATTTTATTTTGGTTTTAATCATAGAATAGTTTGGGTTGGAAAGGATCTTTAAAGGTCATCCAGTCCAACAACCCTGCAATGATCAGGGACACCTTCAAAGAGATCAGGTTGGTCAGAGTCCTGTCCAACCTGACCTTGAATGTTTCCACGGATGGGGCATCTACCACCTCTCTAGGTAATCTGTTCCAGTGTTTCATTACCCTCATTGCAAAAAATTTCTTCCTTATATCTAGTCTAAATGTACCCTCTTTTACTTAAAAACCATTATCCCTTGTCCTACCGCTACAAGCCCTACTAAAATGTTTGTCCCTGTCCTTCTTATGAATGTACTGAAGCTGTGGCAAGCCAAGCATGAAACAAAGCCATCTCTGTTTTGTGCCTCACCTTGTTCCTGCATTGCCGTGCAAGTAAAGGATTACAGGATGGCTGGAACCCAAAGCATCTTCAAACCACAACTGGTCTTTCCCTCGGGCATTCTTCCATAGGGCTGCAGGGACTGTGTGCCTATATACAGAAGGAAAAAAATGCATTGTCCTTTGCTAGTCAGTGTCTGCCACTTGAATTTTGAGGTTTTTTGATCAATTCATTAACTCAGGATTATACACCTCACATGAACTCTTCATAAAACTGTCATGGTTAGCTGACAAATGGGCAAATTTAAAATACAGTGCCTAGGTTATTTCTGTATTTTCACCTCCATCACTGTTGCCTTCAAAACTCAGGGCTGTGCAAGGCATCAAACTTCACAGGCAAATCCAAAACACCATTACTGAACTTCCCACTGTTCTGGAGAAAAAAAACCTCAATTCCTCATTTTTTATGGCACTTAATTACTTCAATTAACATACTTATACACCATAAACAAGATTCACAGCTAGGTCAGCAGATGTTCAGAATAGTCAGAAGAGTGTTCAGAGAGTAAGAGGCATATCTGAATCCACAGCCAATCTGAGGAAAAAGAAGGGCTCAGAGTCTGATGAGAAGATCATGTATTTTATTTTCAGACACCAGTTTCTTGAAGGTATAACATTTTAGCTGGAAAAGCTACAATCTGGAAGAGCCAGGATTTTTTAACTCACAGCTAATATAAATATAGCTGGGCAGCGATTAGAAAAAATTCAACACTTTTGGAATGGAAAGAGTTGAATGATAGACCAAAGAGAACACAGGCATTTAATCGGATAATTACTCTAGAAGACAAGCACTGAAAGCAAGTACATGCCCACAACAATCTCAAATTGTTGAGAAGGAGGCTAGCTTACAGCTGTCAAAAGTAACTTAAGTACTCACATGTCCTTCTTGGAAGAAAAACAAACTCCATCTACCACACCTTCCTCCCAGATGTAAAACTCAGAGGACAAACTAACACGGGGAAACAATGTAAAAAGTCTACTTGCACACACACAGAGAGCAGACTGAGTCCTTGAGGAGGAAAAAAGCCCCAATAACTGTAGGACTCAACTCTTCCAACTGTTCTGTCTCAAGACTTTTGCAAGCTTATGAACAAAGCCTTCTAAGAACTTTGTTTCAGAAGCATACCAAACACAGGACCTTAAACTGGCATTAAAGCAAGGCTAACAAACTTTGTGAAAACCTATCTCATAAGTATCAACACAAATGACATAGACTGAATAGCCACCACAAGCTGGAAGTTCTGCTTTAGTAAAGATACACAGTACACTTGTAAGGTAAACAAAATAAAAGTCTCAAGACTGCAATCTAAACTTTTTCAATAGCTTCTTAGTTAGAATTTTAGTTGTCCAAATGAAGATACAAACCGTTATTTACCAGCCCTGGAAAGACTAAACTTCCAGCTTCTAAACATGTCTTTCACCAAAATTCATTTGAAGGCAAGGAACCATCTTTATGTAGCAGGATACCACTGTCACATTCAAAAGGTCATACACCCTCAAGTAAAGAGAAAATCTCTACTGCATTAGGGGACACATACAAGTTTTACACGCATAACTGAAAACTCGAAATCCTACAGCTTACAGATCTAAAATCACTCGCTGTATTAAAGAACAGACACTTTTCCTCCACACCTGGCATGGTGTCTAGCCCTTTTTTCAGGTGTTTGCTACGCTTGAATATATATATATTCAAACTGCAGGCACTTCTTTTTCTTCAAAGATATCAGGAACTTTTCTGTGGCTTTGAAACTTCTGGTGTTGAGACACAACAGAAAGTTATCATGAAAAACAGATGCAGAAGCTGGTTTGAGCTGGTGTAATAATATGGGAAGTACTGAAACAGACCTTTTTAGGCAGAAAACCAGTCATTTGAGCTGATCCTGGGTAACAAAGAGCTAAAATGAATTGCCCTTGCCTGGGACCAGAAAACCTTTGTGAGGAAGGAATGATAAGTGAGATCTGACACTATCACTTGTTTCATTAAGAGCAAACTGTGTGTTCTGTTCTCACCCACTCTCCAAACCTTACATATGTTTTACACACAAAATATTCTTCCTCCTACTCTGAACACTTTGATCCTGTTTTCCTATCTTCCCCCACATTTATTTTGCAAAACAAAATATGAACAGCAATTGAATGACAAAACTTCTAACTCCTTGGGTCTCATCTGATATGGAGGCATGATCTTTGTAGCAATGCAGACCTGTAACCTTTCCAAATTCTGAAGTTTCTCTGAATGCACAGGTTGTCCAACTGTGTTTCAGGCATTACTGATATGAGTCCAGACAAGCTCCAGAGATTTGCATACTTTTCAACACGAACTCGGTCACTTAGTAAAGGAAAGCACAAGCATCCCTAATCAGAGCAGGCGGCAATGGTTGTCACGTGCACAGCAAAAATACTGGATAGGCAACACTGAGAACAGGAAGAAGGATAAAGATGCACAGCACATACTATGCAGAACAGGCTTCCTTACCAGACTCCAATGGTTACATCCTCCTCTGGCTGCAGGTAATAATTACAGGTGTGGTTCAAACCTTGATCCTGTGGTCTTTTCAAGTCAATGAAATATGGGACCCTCACTGAAATACAAAAAAGAAAAAGAAAACACGCAGAACATTAAGCCTTTTAATTTTTACCTTTATTTTCTTTTAAAATTGCTTTACCAAGTCACTGGAGAGTTTTACAAACTGGTCCACTGTGCTGGGAAGACCTTATTTTTTTGTGTGTGAAAGGATGAACTGGCTACAGCTGTAACTAAAAATGAACATCGAAGTGAGCAAGGTACGAAGACACAAGCAATCATCAAAAAACCCAGGAAGCAGGCTAAAATTAAGAGGTGGGGGATGACTGACAAAGCTTCCTGTGACCATTTAACCACCTCTGCCCAGTCTGCTTTGTCAATCTCCCAGACAAGATAGTTGCTCCTGCTACATCAATGGGGTGGGTTAGGCGATTTGGCAATCACCTAAAATTCTTACTGTTTGCAACATAGCTGTAATACAAGTTACTGATTGGACAAACTACCCATGATAAACAGAGCATCCCAGAGCTGTAACGTGTTTCAGGATGACAAGTGGTTTCAGTCTACAATACAACACTCTAAAGGAGATACTGCATTATAGTAGCAGACACCACATTGCTCTTGTCCTGTAAGAGTAAGATAAATTGTGTTAAACACTGTCCTCTTGAGCCTTTGAGGAGGACATCCAGTTTGCTAGCCCATTCTCCAAAGACTATCAAATAATTGCCATATCTCCCAGACAGAACAGCCTTTAAAAAATATATGTAGGCTGGAAATTTCATCTCTTCAGGAAGATGCCTGAAAACAAAATCATTACACCTCAATTTACTCTTCCAAATGTTTTATGTTCCCCAACTTATACACACACAGTTGTTTATTGCTTGTTATATTCAACAATTCAAACATGAGTGTCAAGAAATTCAAGCATCAACATTTTCAGCATTTTGTCTTCCATTGCTTGGTTCACAAGCTACATCTTATAGACACTGTGCAATGTGCTAAATAGGGGAATGTGCTTAGTCTAAATGCTTCCTTTTCCATCACCAATGCTGTATGGCCTTTCTAGGCAGCCTCTGACACACCCAGTACCGAGAGAGACACTGTAGAGATCTACAGACAACATTGAGCAGGTTTAAGCACTCTCTTCTCCCAGTGACTTAGGATTTGCCCATAAATTTGAGCTCCACTCCAGGAGAAACAAGAAATCTGTCTCCTTGAAATCTACTGTCGTAACAATTAACATACTGAAGTTTTTGTGCTACTGAAACACACAGAAGCACTGATAATGTCACCTCACTTCACCTATGCTAAAAAAAATCCCCAAAACCAAAAAAAACACTAAACATTCCAGAAACATGAAAACCAAGGCAGACAACAGCTGATGTTAACCTGACAAATCTGGCCCCTTAGACTGCAAATCTAGCAAATCTATACCATTTCAATTGTTTGCTCTTATGGAAAAGCATGTGAAAGAGTCCCAGACAAAGCATGCACACCACCAGAGATCAGCTGGGTCACTGCACTGTCACCAAAGAACTCGGTGACGCTCTCACAAGGGTGGTGGATCCTCCAAGAGGGCAGTAAGTTCTGCAGTCAAGGTCTGGACAGACACACAAATTGCTTATAGCAGTGTTCTGGGAAAATTATTCAACTTCTCTGTGCCTTGATTTTCCCATTTGTCAAATCTGTTAAGAATTTCTTGCCAGATTTTATATTACAAAGATATGAACAGGAACATACCAATGTTAGTGACTGGGGCCAGGTAAGCACCTACCTCAAAGCAAAAGAAAAATATAGAAGTACAGGCAATTTTTACGTATGGCATTTATCACTAGGATGGTCCACCTATTCTACACACACAAACATCATCATATAGGCATACACCATATGGAGACTTTGCACATCAAGGGTTTTAGTGACATGTTTCAGAGCTATATGATATCACCTGCAACATATCACATGACCAAAATTGCATGATTTGTTAATCATACTGATACATCAAATCTGATCTAGCCTATATTAATGTTTCTAGAAACCTCAGTTTTCTGGAAACTTCCAGTGGAGACACCCTGAGATCTCTACCCATATGCCTATGTATCTCATAATCTGGAATAAAAGTCTGTCCACAAGAATAAATCCAGACACTGGTTCAGATACAGTGGCAGCACGGCTACCAATTCATCTTTAGCTATCTTGAGAAACAAATGGAATCACTTTCTGATGAACCTCTGTGCTACTGTTTAGGAAGCAAATCCCAAACTACACAAAAGGAGGAGAAAAAGATGGCTGAAGAGTAGTGATTTATACTCAGAAGGTTAAAAAACCCAATGTGATAGGGCAAACCCTATATCATTTCTCTGAAGGTCACTCTCCAGTGGAGAAGAACTACTCAAATGTCAATGTACTTCTACTGTGTTAGAATGCACTCTCTATTCAGGCAAATAGTTTTTCATGGGAGTACTGTCACAAGTAAAGTCCAATTGCCATTATAGAAAGCAGTAAGAACAATGGTGCAGTGATATTAGTGCAAGTCCTAGTGCAAGAAATTGTTACGGAACAATTATTTTGGTCACGTGGGAATTAACAGAGGTAGGATCTTCAGGGAGACCTACAAAACTCTGCAAGGGCAAGTTACAGTCATTATTGAAAAAGCAAGATGATGAAAATGGAAGTAACCTGCATTATTCACTTTATCCAGCTGTCAGTTCTGACAATCAAGGCACAAGAGCTGGCCCACAGATGTGCACACTTTACAGTGACCATGATCCAAAGTGTTAGAATATACAGAGCATGCAATCAAAATGACAGAGGTTCATTTAAAAGCAACATATCCATAGTTGGTCCTCCCAGCTTCTGCAATCAAAGGAAGATATTTTTCAAAACTTCATTACAAAACACAAGTGAGGTTTAAAGACAAATTTAGATTGCAAAGAAGTATCTCTCACACAGTGATGCTCCATCATTTTCCATCCTGTGAATGCTCAGGCCTTCCTAGGTGACCTGAGAGCTGAGCCAGCTCACCAGACTCACTGTACTGCTGCTTGACCAAGTGCAAAGGCTAAGCAGACACAATCTGACTACATGAACAGGCCTCTTCTGTCCCACCCTGAATATTCTCCTAAAATGTTTTCAGATGAAGAGTTGTTGCCTGGAAAGCAATTCACCGGATTTAAATTTCACTTACTTGCTGTCTATTCATGCAACTTTGTTGAACCCCTCAGAAAAGTGCACTCAACACATCGCACAGTTTTCCTGAAGGACACCCCTTCATCTAAAAGTTGGCTTCAGAAAATGCTTTCCAAGGCACTTCCAGTTTGAAGAACTTACAGACTGTGAAAGCTCATATCCTTTACAAGATGTACACATGCAGGATGAAAGTGAAGGCAGACAACTGAAAGACAAAGACATTATTCCCCTTCACCCCTCACCCACCCAATAGACTGAGCCACTTACCAAAGTTTAGGAAGACCAGCTTTGCCTGAATAGCAGGGCAAAGTTTTACTAGAAATGGAATGGCTATGTACACTCCCAGCAACCAGATTATTAACTTCCGCAATCGAAACCATAATCCGTATCGCCTGTAGAGAAGAAAAAAAAAAAGAAAGAGAGAGGGACCTGAATACAGCAGAAATTTTATGAAGCAATTTTCACAACAAACTGTGTGCTTGGTATATTTGAACCTGGTTATTTACTCTTTAAACAAAACTAAAACCAGTTTATGTAGCCTCAGTTGTTTGAGAGAAGCAGAAGTAACCAAACTGTCAGCAGATGATAGCATCTTAGAAAAAGGGAATAGAAACTCCCCACTGATTACATTTTGAAACACTCTGTAACAAGAGATTTTTTTCTGCTGACTTAACAGATTTCAGGCCCTCTAGAAAAATCAAATCACATGTTTGTCACCAAAAAGTAGCCTGAGTGCAGTTCCCACTTAAATCACTACCAGCAAGATTTTGTTCAGTTAGATTTTCAGTCTTTAAGGAACTATGTGTAATGAGACTGATAAAAATCACACATGATCTCATGTACAGACTGGAGCAGACATTCAGCTTGTCCAGGTAAAAACGGTTCATACCTCTCAAGGCCCTGGAAAGCACATCTTTCTAAGTTATAAAACATTATGAAATTTCTTATCTGCAGCATCATCCTCTACAAGTCCAGGCTGATTTGGAACAATTGCCCCAACACTTTATTTCTATTTTCTCCTAAGTATTCTGATTGGGAAGAGTAAGCTACAAAAAAACCCAAACCACCACCACCAAAAAAATAATGAAAGAATCACACAGCAGCTAGTTAAGCAGTGTTTCTCAAAATACACTTTACTACCTCAGAATAATTACCACATACACACTCATATGTGTGTGTGTGTGTATATATATATATATATATATGTACGTATACATAAAGGTGTACTTCCAATGATCTAGTTGTTTAACATTTTATGGGCAGAAACACTGATTGCAATGGTGTTGAGCGTCTCAAGAACTAAAACGCATGTAAACCCTTCAGTCAACACAACTTCATTTGCTTTCCAGCAGGAACCACATTGCATGTCAGTGAGCAATCATTTCTCAGTATTGGGAACTGCTGGCTGCTGAAAGCAGAGATAAATAATTTCATGTCTCTTGGAAAAATTGATCTCCCATTTGGCAATTTTACCAGCTGACACACTGAATTTTCTCCACACTAGTGCTAAGAGGGTTTGAATGCTGTCAGCTAGTTGAAACTATCAAATAGAGCGCCTGAAAACCTCTTTTTAAAGCATTTCTACAGGAAATACAAGTGTACAGGTAGAACTGGGATAGAAATAGTTCAATCATGCACCCAAATCTTCAAGATCTCAACAGCTTTTGTAGCCCTAGGCTAAAGCCAAGACAAGACTCTCAGGAAGTTTTTCAGCACAGTGAAAAAAAGGAGACACTCCAGCCTCCCCACCTGCATAATTTTTTGCGTGATTGCTAGGGTAGTTATACAGGGAATAGGCTATCCTACTATTTGCCAAAAACCTGCCTCCATCACACTACTGCCTGCCTACCAAGTACCTGTCTGTCTCCTCTCACCCAGGCACCATATTCTGGACTTCAGAAACATCTACCATCAAAATTGATGCACTTTTCTTGACAAGCTAAAGGAACTGCCATTTTCCAAGAGGGAAGGAAAATGTATTACTAAGACACTGCTAACCAGCTCTGGCTGCAACAAGCCCATGTCAAAAGGTTCAACAGATTTTAATACTTCCCATGGCAAAACTGACAATGAAGAGGTGAAGACAGACAGCAAGGATACTTCAAGCCCAATTTCCTGAAGTATTAAGGAAAGCAGAAAAGCAAAGGACAGAGAGGAAACAGTACACACAGGGGCTTTAGAAGAACATTAGTGAGTACCAAAGCCTTAGACTGACCCACCTCTGCCTCATGAAGAGCAGCAAATAGAGGAGGAGGAGGAGGAAGAGGTCCTGAGTATGCAAGCAACACAAAGTCTGCCTACAGTTGTGGTTTTTGAGAGGGGCCCAGCAAATGTACTCTAGACCCAGGGTCTGGAGAGCAATTCAGTGTGAAATGCTGTAAGGCCAGCTAAATACACATGCAAAGCCCAAAACTTTGGGAAAAAAAATAGACAACATTTTGCTTGGGCTAATCACAACTGATCACAGCTCTCTCCACTCAAATTAAAACCAGCTTTCCACACCTACACCCACATTAGCACCTACCACCTATTTCCATCACTGGAAAAGGTTTGTGGAAGAGAAGGGGAGGGGAGATCACTGTTGCTGAGCAATCAGGATATAATTTAGCTCTCTTCAATGACAGAAGTCTATCTTTTCATCAGAACTTTTTGCCTCATTTGGCTGGTTGCTCAGAGTTAACACAACCTTGCAGTTTCCCCTTGCCTCACACTTGAGAGGTGACTCTGCCATCACCACCTTCCCACAGAGAACAGTGACTGGGGCGAGCAACCAGGCAGGATGGGGCTTGCCATAAAGCTGTTCTGCATGTGTCCCAGACCCTGCTGCAGCCAAACAGACTTCTCCTTGGGGACTTTCATATATGCCACACTTTCAGCCCTACAGAAAAAACCCCACTTATTTAGAAAGGCACCAGAGTCAGGTCTGAACTCCTCTAGATAAAACCAGAGCACATCAAAACATAGGAACTTCAGATGTCTGGGATGCAAAACCATTTAGCATGAGCCAGCCGCAAGCTGGGACCAGGAACAGAAAATGCCAAAGACATTGTCCAAATAATGCTGTCAGAGTTCAGGAATTACTTCAGTCTCTCTTTTCTAAGACAGAACTGAAACATCTCTTCCTTTGCTCGTGTACCCCACACCAAACGCTAATCAGTAAAGTGACATATACACCTCATCTCCAGGGAGATATCTACTTAAAATGCAACCAGGGCAAAGCCTCTATTCATCAACAAACAGCTTCTCTTCTGCTGATAAATCCAAGACAACGTGCTGAAGTACAAACATTTTAAAATTATCAGGTAAGTCTTTAGTGAGCAGTGTAGTTAAACTGCTCTTGCTCTGCAGAAAAGCTGTTTCAGGAAATGCATGCCCTGCACAGGGAGCTTTTGGTGTGCTCGGGTAAAAGCAGCAGCAACGTGCTTTTCACCAGAAAATTCAGTCAGTCTTAGCTGGAAAATACAAGTGAGTTAGAGAACAAGAAGCTGCAAACTAAAGACCTTAAATAATATGATAAATAGATTTCCAAGAATAAAAAAAGTCTAAAGAAAACAAACCAACAACAAAACCCCACACCAACCCAAAACACCCAACCCCAAGACAACACACACACCACCACCCCCCCCAAAAAAAAAAATCTGCACTGACATTGCATTTTCTCCCTTCATTCATCAAAGGCCTTTGCCCAACTTCTGGGTTCTGTCCAAACACAGGCAAAATCTGTTTTTTTCTTCAGGCAGGTTTCTGAAGTGAATGTGAAAAATAAAGAGTTTCTCTCCAGACATACCTGAATCTGAAAAAAAGGGAGTCTTGCCCTTAAGTGTGACAACAGAAACAAAATTTTCCTGGTAATTTACACCTGGACAAAGGTCCTATATTCACTCAGAATAAGCATATCTTGCATTTGGGCAGACAGTAAGAGTATCTGGCTGGCAAAGAGGAGCTGAGGGTCCTCTCATGACATCTTCTCCTGAGTGTGCTATCTTTATCAGCACTAAGGGAACTGCTGGAACAAACATCCTTTGTCTCATCATGGAATACAGTTGCCAAACTAAGATTTAAGTACCGCACCATCACACAACGGGGATTTCAACCTGTGGTCTGCAATCACAGTGTGTCTGCAAGGAGCAGCCAAGGCATCAAATTTACTATGGGCATCTTTTAATTCACAGTATTGGTGTTTCTCCCTCCTCTCCAGCAAACTCAGGAGGTCTCATGAACAGAGTATCCAATGATCACACTACTGTGACATGTTCTCCATATAAATTCAGATTAAAATAATTTCCCCTGGAGAGCATCTGAATCACTTCTGCATCACAAGTACACCAGAAGAGTTTCCATTAGGATCTCCTTATCAGCTGTGCTACAAGGGTGAAAGGGCAGACCAAGGGTGAAACACAAGACTGGTATCAGCTGCAGTTGAGCAAGAACAAAATTTATCAGAAACACACACATGCTGGGCTTGTGTCTAAAAGGACCTGACAAATGCATGTACATTCCACATGGCCTTTGTTATCTAGCAGAGGCAACAGTAATACAAAATGCTCAGACACCTGAGTATGAGACTATGTATGTTCAGCAAATGCTGTTTTGCTGACTTGCTCTGATGTCCCTCAAATCATCAACTGTTCAAACTGTAAATTGGCAATCTTTTCCCAGCAGAAACTCAGAGCATGGAATGGGGAGAGCCAAGACCGTTTCCATTCTTGGTCATGCAAGTACCTCCCTCACCGTGACAAAAGTGACTTTAAAAGTAGTAGAGGAAGAAAAAAACTAACATGAATAATGGCATAACAAGAACACCTTCCCCCACTTTTCTAACAGAAAACTTTTTTTAAAAAAAACAATACATTCCTCCCCACAGGCAAGGATCAAGAACATAACAATCAAGATGTAGACAAAGACATGGGCAAAGGATTCAAAAAACTGAGGGAGAATTTAAAGGACTGAGATTAATTTCTTTGGGTAAAGAAGAGTTGTGACCAAAACAACCTATTCTACAACCTGGAAACTGCAACTGAGCCCCAAGCACACAGGGGCATGCAAGAAACAATAGAGCAACTACACCACACACGGGGCAGGACAACCCACACATCAAGTTGCTGTCAAGCCTTCCAGCCTTCGTTGATAGCCTTGCTTTAAAGAACAGATGGTTTCTAGCTCTTCAAGAGCTCTTATCTTCCCTTCCTACAGGAAGTCTGGACACTGGTGCTGCACAGGACTCTTCCTTCTTACAGGTCCTGAAGGGTGAAAAGATCACCCCATTTTTCTTCTCCCTTCACACAGGCCATCTGAGCCACCCAAGCTGATTAACCTTTTGTTTTATTTCACTTGTTCCCTGCCAAGAAAATAAAAAAGAAAATGGAGAAAACCTATCAGCTTTCCAACTGTG